AGTCTGACTCTCTCTCGTCTCACCCGAGCGGGAGAAGCCTTGAATGACTCCCCCTTTTTTTTAAATTATATGGGACTGACGTTTGCCCACTATCTCGCCTGGTGGTAAGCGATGATGTAGCCTACGATGGAGCACGTCGACCCATTAGCAACCTGTTCACTCGGGCCTTGAAGACACCCTTCAGAAAATACAGACTCTGGCAAAGAATTCCACTCCTTAGCACTCCACTCAAAAAAAAGGTGCTCACCCAATGACTTCAAGGAAGACGGCGACAGAGTGCTTACTTGCCGCCGTGCACTGCTCAGAGAGGCTCTAGGAAGACACATAGGTCTCCATAGGTAGGTGCCGTTAACAGACGTTGCCTTTTTTATTGCCTCCTTTAGCCGCAGATGGTGGCAACTGGACTTTAAGTGAGGTAAACATCCCACACTCTAGGGAGTGTAGGGAGTACACTGTGATTGGTTAGAAGGAAAAAGACTAGGCTTTTCCCCAAAAACCTAGGCGTCTTTTGTAGGTTCCCACCGTCAATAAAAAAAATATTTAACTCATCACACTTAAGTATACCTACTTGCACCCAATTATTTAAAAAAAAAACATCAAAGGCTTTTTAAAAGGGGGTTGTCATAATCCTTTCACTTGGTCCTGCTAAGAGGCTTGTAGACCAGAGTTGGATCACCAAAAATTTAAGGATGCTCTTCCCTCGATATATACTCAGTTTTAGAGAACATATTTTACGTTAGACAGTAGTTTTCTCGTTAAGTATAAAAGTAAAAATTCTTCGAAGCATTTATTTATTGTTAAAAAACCCGATACAATTCAGTTTTCTTGTAAAGGCTAAATGTTATCATTGATGTCAGAGGTTTTTCCCTAGCAACTAATGCAGTTTTGAGATAAAGACATAACATAAATAAAATAAGTAAATACTAATATATATATATATTAATATTAGATAACTATATACTTCTTCTACTAATATGAATCATACAAAGAAAAACCTAATTTGTCCGGCTATTCAATGCGCGCCATATACATAAAACATTTAATGTTCTGCTTACGTCACTTCGTATCAATATACACAAATAGTCGATGGTTATTTATTTTTATATATTTTTTTTGTTATAAGAATATTTTTTTTAAAAATTGTCCTCGTTATTGTATTTTTAATTAAAATACCATGATAAGTATATTCAAGTTTGAACTAACATAAACCACCTAGGTACTCGTAACAATTGATTATTATTATCCGCAATCGTGTCTACACATAAATATAACTAGTAAAATAATAAATATGTATACATACATACGTACCTACATAGCTATTAATAAATTAAAATATCTGACATGTTATTGACAGGTGTTCGATCAACTACCATTAGGTATTAATTAACGGATAATAAATATTATTTCAAAAATTTCATACATAAAATAAATAATATTTACTTTCTCAGGTTTCCGATTAAACCTTACCTAATGATCTGTACTAAATGTACCTATCTTATGTGCATACATACACACTCAACAATCTAAATGTTTAATGTTTATATGATGACGAGAGAAACAAATTGACTAGTAAAAGCAAATCAATGGAAGATCTGTTCCTCATCAACGTTTGACAGCCAACTAAAGCAAGAGATGAGGAGCAGTGATGAACTGAGACACCTAGCTTCTAGGGGACGTTCAGGGGGTTACGGACTTCGTAGTAAGTAGATATTCCGTTAACCTGCCAGAACAGTACAAAAATTACTGTCAGTACTTACGTGTAAAATGCATAGTCCACTTCTTGGTACGGGTATAATCTTAACGACATTCAATAAACACACTAAAATTTAAATTAAAAAATACTCGTAATAGATACGCTCCAAAAACCAAATGGTTTACACTGAGCAATTTCACGCACTGAACATCATACATTTTTTTAAAGCTATCGAGTAAGCTCTCTTGATAATAAAATTATCAGTCGGAACTCGGAAACACACACACGTCCGAGTGTGTGTTTCTTACTTTAAGAAGAAACATTATATTTAGAAAAAAGATAAATATTACACCCGCATAGTTTCCAATAGTAGATAGATTTTCTTTACATAACAGTGTAACAAAGAGACGGAACATATTTATCTTCCTACAGATATAAATATAAATAGTCGTACATTGTATATGATGAAAAAACTCAATAATACTCAGTATGCCCGCATCTGATTAAGTATTATCTATTCAAACGAACTGCAATGGCAAGGTGAAGATTTTCGTCAGTTTCATGGCGTCAGAGATCCCTTATATAGTTATATAGTTTTACGACTTCTGCATCATCCACACTATATTTTTCAATGAGGTCACGTGTACATACCTAGATGTAGGTAGATCCTTACTATCTGGTCATGTTATTAGTCAGGTCAGGAAAAGTGGGGTTTCTTGACCAATAGGGTAATTACCAACGATTGGATGGACAACATTTAACTATCAGATATTGAGACATGGGACCTTTGCTCATCAATAGAGCCTTAAAATAAGAGCAGGATGGTATTCCTTAGCTTTACCTGTTCAGATCCAAAACATACACGTACCCAAGGTGGCATGGTATGTCTCTAAAAACTTGTAAAATAATAATAATTACACACCTGTTCACTAATTAACATGGAGCGGGTCTTAATTGCTGTAGACTGTTTTTGAAGCCATAAAAGTCTTTAAAGACTATTGTTGACATTTCCTCTTGGTAATTAATGACCTCATAATGATAACTAATACCATTACCTGTTAATGTGGGAGAGCTATGCTTCGGCACGAATGGGCCGGCTCGACCGGAGTGATACCACGGCCTCACAGAAAACCGACGTGAAGCAATGCTTGCGTTGTGTTTCGTCGTGTGGGTGAGGTTACCGGAGGCCCAATTACTCTCCCCTTCCCCAATCCTGAATCCCCAACCATCCTCAAACTCCTAATCCCCAAAAGGCCGGTAACGCACTTGTAACGCCTCTGGTGTTCCAGGTGTCCATGGGCGACGCCGACTGCTTACCATCAGGTGATCCGTCTGCTCGTTTACCGGCTTATGCCATAAAAAAAATGTGTAGGAACTATCTTTTATTGGGCATTTTTAGTCTTCTTTTTTTTCTTTAAAACCCAATGAATTATATGCCAATAAACAGTACATAGAATACTAAATCAAGAGCAATTTTTCGTAATATGTTCTTAACTACTGCACCTCCTTTAAGTCAAGTTGTACAAAAGCAACTAATCAAAAATAATACTCTTCCTACAGTTGGGTAAAACATACCGAAACAATGAAGCCCAATGCATTCCAGGAACATAAAATAGTCTTTAACACTGTGGTGTTAAAGACTGATATAAGAAGTCAGAAACGAAATAAATAATTTTTGGGGGGAAAGAATAGTTTGCGCTTTCAGTGGGTCTTTGTCTTACATAGTGTACTGTGAAATATGATAACGTTAAGGTATATAACGTTAAGTTTACGCTGTCAACAGTTTTTATTATCATTGTTATCATGGAGAACATTTCATTATTTTTGACTGACCACCGAATATTTATCTGACTGCACATTTGGTCAAGTGATGAAGTCCTTTATTTAAACTCTGGTGTAATCAAAGGATCTTTTCCATAGGAAACTTCTTGATATAATATCGCGCAGATAAAGTAGTCAATGTCTGGCAAGGTTCATCTCTAATAATTCCCAATCATTGCAACTGGGAGTGAGGAGAATTGTAAATTTCTTCACTACTGAATTTTACCTTCGAAAATAAACAATGCATCATAATTCTTCGAAATGAACTATACTAGTTTTATGTTTTAAATTAGAATTTAATTAAAAATCTACTAAAGTAAACGTTTGTATTGTGAATCAAATAATAACTTCTAGTAAACGAACTGTTTGTTGTCTTTAGTAATCTGTTTAAAGGAAAATTACGAAAAACAACAGATCCTGTGTACTTTATGAATAAGTTTACGAGATACCTGAAGTTTTTATGACCACGTAACTATTTACAAAGATGACGCGAGAATTTCATAGCCCTTTGTATTTAGTATTATTCATAACCACTTTTATTTCAATATCTATAGATATACAAAAGCCTCGTGATCATTATTGATGTCTGTAAAAGTATGTTATATGGTGTGTCTATCTTAAAAACTCAGCGATCAAAAATTTTGATCTGAAACAATCAGCATCCACTGACACAGTGAAACCTTACATCAACAGGAACTTCCAACTACTGCAATAATAGACAAAATTATTTTCACAATATACTACGGTACAAGATATTACGAGCCAATAATACATACTTAGTTAATTGCTCCATAATTATTAGTTGAAGCCATTCTCAATCATTCACCTGACCCATGTCACAATGTCACAGTAAGCCGTTGGATGCAAATGCATCTCTTCCATTCCAACTACCTCTAATCTAGAAGTCATTGGGAGAGATGTCCAGCAGTGGACGTCTTTATCTGCAATAATGATGAAGATGTTGAAATTATTCTTCTATAAAATAAAAGAGGTCATTGATCCGTGCCAGGTGATCCTGTAGTCTGTAGTCTGTAACCCTAATTTCTTATGCATTATCCTGAAAAAAAAAGTTTTTCTACACTAAAATAGGTGTTTTTTAAATACACCTTTGGCCGTCTGTCTATACAATATATGTACATTATATACTCTTCGTGGTGCTATAACAGATACATCACTGTTGTTAGAGTCTTCCTTTCCAAGTAAAAAAAATACATAATTTTCCAACTTGAATGAGATATCCTGGAATTTCCTGGTGCGGTAACTTAGAGGTTACCATGTAGCCTTCATAAAACATTATTTTTATTTAACGAATGTTAAGTAAAAAAATATTCCAGTAGTCCAGTAGCCCAAATCTTGAGCCATAAACAATAACAGATATCGGTCATAATGGTGCTACTAATGATAACGCTGCGTCAGTCCTCGGCCGTGGAGTAACTAACGATTCATATAAAGTGCGGCGGCTGCGCGTACACATCAAAACTCCATCATGTTCGCAAGCAAGTCGATTGTGTGCGCTGCGCTTGCACTCCTTGCGGTCACAACCGCCGCGCCGGGAGGAAACGACATACAAAAAATCACAAAAGCACGTGAGTGTCATATAAAAACCTTTATTTATTAAAATATATTTTTTGGGAAATAATATGTGCCAAAAATTATGTGATTATTATGTAAAAAAGTGATAAAGTAGGTAGTTTTTGTTGTGATGTGCAGGTAAGGTGTATTTTACTTAATTATAATTAAAAGAACAGTTTAAATTGTACTGTAATGACAATACTTAAAGAGTTAAGTTTCATATAACCCGCCTTATTTTGCTAGATAAATTATCGACAAATGAAAAACGTTCGATAAAAAAGTAAGTCTTGATTTGTTAGATTGAGATATAATTTGATAAAATACGATAATACGTATCTTTTCTTCTCTTTTCCATTAAAACTATACAACAATTGTATTATCAAAGTGAGTGTGTTTTTGTTTTTATAATAATTTGTGAAACATGCAGTATTGTATTAATAACAGTGTTTTATTATTTATTCAATTAATGCTTAATATTAGTCCGACTTCGCCATACAATTGTAAGTTGTGACAGAAATATAACGTTGTAAGTATTATATGAAAAATCGACGATTTATTATCAGACCAGCCTTTAGCCAAATGCCACTTTAGCGCTTGTCTACAGAGAGAGTAGAAATCAAAATAAGTGTGAACATTTACGTCAATTCCATATAATTTGGTTTTCTATTCTACATGTAGACAAGCGTTAAATGGCATTTGGCTACAGCCTCAGTTCTTGAAATTAAATTCTTAATTTACTTTTACAAACAAAATAAATAATTCTATGAGGGTAGCTAAGAAATAAAATATAATATTTTGCTTCCATGATTTGTGTAAAATTAGAGTAAATGCAGCAAATCTAACCATAGCAATGTACTCGTCAGATTTCAGTATTAATAATGTTTTCACATTGTGCTATTTTTCAATAACATCACAGTACTAATTAATGTATGTATAACATAACGTAAACGTGATTATTGCGTTACCGGTTATAATGACTTGAGAATTACCGTAAAGATAAACAACTAGTAATAAACTATTATTCCATTTTTTGCAAGTACTACAACTTTTCCTACAAGGCCTGCCTACAATTTTTAAAATACCAATGTTTGTTTGTAGTGCAGTATGAGTTGTATATTAATTAATATGATACTCCAAAATTCTAAAAATTTCTAAATACATCAAGCTCTATCTCCTGAACTAGGCGTTGCCTGTATCTCAGGAAGCAGTACCTTCCTTAATTATTCCTTAATTATTTCAAGTCTTGCGTATGTCTAAAGTAAAATTAAATAAGTGGATAAAATTTATTCAATGATACGTGTCTATGTAGGAATAGTTGAACACAAACCTACTTGGAACCTCTCATTGATTTCTATCTTCAGGCTCATCCTTCTGTGTTATCTTAATTAAACTCAAACTAAACTAGATTATTAAATAATATTATTTTTAGTTTAGGCTGTTTTATATTTTTTATTAAATAGCACTGGTTTAATTAAATAGAACAACAGTTAGTGCTATTTATTAAGAGTGAAGTTGTCTAGTCCTACGTTTGTCTCTAGCCTTTCAAGGACCGTATGACCGGTTATAACAAATGTAAAACAAAAAATGTCTAGATTTCTGAACATATGATTAGGTACACAAGTTCGGCAGCTAGGCAGAGGACAACACAATGATTATGGTAGTAAAGTAATAGTAGTCATTATAATACCGAGGACATAAAAACGACAATTACATCTGATTGTCAGCTCAGAATACATAATGTAGGTAACTATAGCAGTTCCGTTAACTAATGATCATGACTGACTCAAATAAAAACAATATATAAAACCGGTATTTTAATTAAAACAATTTGTGAATGAATTAAATTAAAAACAATTTAGTCTATTGAGAAACTTGTTTGAATTAATATCCTGTCCATTAGGTTGTTTTTTTCGTAGTTTTTTTTTTTGTAAAATATTGGATTGAATCGGTTGAATTTTAAGTACATGTTTGGGCAAAAAGATACCTGCTTAATTTTAATACCTCATTAATTACACTAGTGTTCGCAAATTCAATAAAAAATTAAACATAGGTAAATATTTAAATTTGTTTAATTTTTTATTGAATTACATGGCTGAGCACGAAGTCTTTGACCCTTTGTCCCTAGTGTAAGCTGCAGCTGTAGCCAAATGCCATTTAGCGCTTGTCTACTTGTAGAATAGAAAACCAAATTATATGGAATTGACGTAAATTTTGACACTTGTCAGTGTCATCCCCATACATTTTGATTTCTACTCTCTGTAGACAAGCGCTAAAGTGGCGTTTGGCTAAAGGCACTGGAACCACATAGAGCAAAAATCAAGCCATTTTCAACACAGGGTTTTTATGCCTGAATTAAGTGTTACTCAACTCAGTACTCAGTAGCCAATTTGGAACACCATTCACCTCCCCACTTACACATAGGCCTTCTCCAAGTAAGAGAAACTCTTGACAACGAACACGAAAATACGTTGTGCTTTGCTTGGAGTTTCTTGGCAAAATATCAGATCTATACATTCCCATCTCCTATTCTCATAACCAGTGGTGTAACTATATTGTTCGCAGTCAATGGCAAATTCATCGGACTCAAATTCGGATCGGATTAAAACTGAGAAGTTCGATACGACACGCCCCTCTGGACGGGGGCCTCAGCCCTATCGGCTGGGAGCCCTTGGCATTTGCCGACTTGCCACCCTGTAGTTACGCCACTGCTCATCACAAATATCGCTCGTCCATGCCACTCATAATTTAATCCGTTTTCATCTTCCTTCTCATCATCTGCATCTGATTCCTCCTATCCCTCTCCTTCTTCTCTACTTATTCACTACATGCTTCATCCCGATTATTTCCGATTTCCCTTGCTTGAAATAATTGGTAATTCTTTGAATGTGTGACTAATCTGTGCTGTACCACCTCTGGCTACAATAGATGCGATGTGAAATTGAAATAATTGCCGGAAAGTAAATGTAACTACTTCACCCTAAACTACTTATTTAATAGGGGAATACCTGACTTAGGCGAATTACATGTTTACATGATACTTTTGTATATTTTGGGAAATGAAAAATACTTGTTTTTTTAGGTAGGATAGTCGTTAAAGTCATGTAAAACCCAACCAGTGAATATCAACATCAAGTATCATTTATCAACATTCCGCATAGTTACCGCATAGTACCGGTACCTATGAATGAACTAGTTCAAATATAACAATACCCTCTTAACTGATTCACTAAACTAGAATACTGGTATTGAATTCGAGTGTTGTTGTTATGCCTGTGTATACCATCATATAAATATAATCTAAATAGATCATTTGATTGTTTATGGTCGCTTACGAATTCAGGAAATGCTATTCTAAACTTGCAGTCTGTTCTTTGAGTGTGATAAAAAGAAAATAACATAGTTCCGTTTCGCGGGTTATAATTCTTAAATCTACGGTACAAATTCATTCACCGTGCAATTAAAACGAAACATCCAATTTCTTTAAAATTTATTCATCAATAAGTCAACGTGGAAATACCTGGGAAAAAACACAACAGTGTGTTTTTGTTTTTAACGGCACTAATCCTTACGCTTATCGCATTTGGGATGGATAATATCTACGGTAGTTAGCTAGCTGATAACGGTCTAAATATTTAACACACATAGATTGAGAACTACGTCATTGGCAAATGAGTAAAAATGCTACATTTTAACATGGTTGTCGTACCATACTAACATCGATAAGCTTCTTACGACGTATTTTTAACCATCTCTATGACTGTTGTTTCAATTCACCTGCAGAAAACAAATTTCCTACTAATACGCTACGCTACGCTTATAACATAACGTACCTACGTATGTTATACAAGTTACAACCGATGCGTAACGTTCCCTTAATTGTTACGCTTGGAAATTATTAACCTAGTACAGTAGTACCTTCAATGACCTTTGCCATGAAACTGATTTAGTTATTTACTTGTATTCAAGAGTTATCAACTGAAACGAAATCAGTTTCCCATCGATATTATGATGGCACATCACTATGATACATCGACAACCTGAAATAGACTTTAATCTTGACGGAAATGAGGTACGATTTTTGTAAACGATCGTAATTATTTGGATGTAGGTAAATGCTGACATGATAATATAATTGGCCTAACGCATGGGCATGGTAACATTAGTAACAAATTGTTTCGATCGAGTTCACATTCATTTACAAGTAACACGTCATTGTTATTAATTGTAGGGAAATCTTTGTGGTTTTTTCTACGAGATAAGATATCTCGACAATATAGGTAGCTGCTGCAGTGTACCTGTGTGTGGTAATTACAATTACCCTAATAGATGTCATTAGTACATTAGCAGACGATAGTCCGTCGTGGACAAGTTATTGTTTACTTTTTGTGAGAGGTTTTTGTTTCACCAGTTTCTGCATAGAACTAGAGATGTAATTTCCTCGACGTTCTACATATGTTTATGAATACAATTTGCAATTGTGAGGGAAATACCTAGTAATTTCCTGTCCTGTGGACTACACATTTATTAGTTTGAATATTCGTATTTAATGGATAATGTTCAATGAACTCATGGTCAACAAATAATTATGTCAATACGTGACATAATAACAATAGTTCCGAGGTGATACAACAGAAAACAGTTCGTGGTAGTTAGGTACATATTTCTACCTATATCCCTTAGATAGATAGATAGATAGATAGGTACTCAATTTACACTATTATTAAAATAATAATTCTGAAAATCACAAACCTCAAAGATATCATACACCGTACAAAAACTTATATTCTAATATCTCATTACTCTGTTTCCAGCCAATGTGCCCACAAAGTCGGAAGCGGTACCAAAAGCGAGTGCTCCCGGGCCACAGCCAGTAAATGAGAGGTTCCCTCATGCAGTGCTGTTCGGAGGCACCTGCGGTGGTACCATCATCAGCCCAACATGGATCCTCACTGCTGGTCATTGGTAAGGACTTAAACTTTTATTTATGTCACAAAACATACCATACCAGGTACCTAATCATGAATGTCTTGGTCATCAAATTCAAACAGTTTTAGAAGGATCAAGGTAATAGGGATTACAAAATACTCAAGTCGTTTAACATTATTACAATTTGTAAAACACAAAAAAAAAAACAAAAAGTCATCACGTCTTGTTCGGCATCGTCAAGTCGTGCCGGCATCATAAAATATCCCGTCTCCAAAAAAACTTGATATCACGTAATAGCCAATTAGCAAACAATTTATAGTTGCCTATAGTCAAATTACCCGTATTTTTATTTTTTGTGGATATATCACATCGTAATAATATAGTAGACGCCTAGACAGATATAATATGCTTAAAGAACTAACCGCTGCCAACCTAAATAAGTCTTTAGATTGCCAAAGTTTCCACTAAATTATCAGATTTTTCTACTATAAAAAGATACAAAGACACATTTAGCACAAATAAACTTAAACACTGACTTCATACTGCCCTCCAACAGTTATTGTACGTAGATACAAGTAATACTTCCAATGTTCCTGTTTACTTTGCCTTCTGATGTACCGTAATCTGCGACTGAAGTAGCCTTCACTATATTCTGCTCCACAATGACCTGTTCTTATCATTTCACTGATATAAGACGTACTTAGTAAAGGAAAAATCAAGTCGTGAATGATATTTAATATTTTTAAATATCCACTGCCCGTTCAAAATATTGGCCACAGGTATCTATACTAGGATTACCAAAATTTGTACCTACCTCCTTGATCGGTAACGGGTATTTTAAAAATACGTTTTCTTAGTCACGTCTTAAGTTGGATCTGTGGATATAGAGAACAAGTATTTTTGTTTCGAGTTATTTATGTAAGGTGCAAAATTTGCTTAGAACATTTTCATATAGGCAACTATTAAATTCCTGGATTATCGCAATTCCACAAAAGAATTCGCAAACAAGACGTGGTACAAGCCAGCATTTGTTTATGTTTATTTGCAACATTTGATTTGATACATGTAGGTACTCACCATAAAAGCAATTCTTTGTGAAGCACGGTTTTGAACTGGTTCCTTTTAGTTGAATGCAACCCACGCGATATTAAGATGTATGTCGGCTCACGCGCATGCATAACAAAACAGTTGGGTTTTCCGTGTTCGTCATATTGACTCCGTGCATACCACTATACACAGTCACTAGCATTAATATATTTGTCGATAAACAACACAATCAACATACGTGACTAGATCTCTTAACTCACAAAGGGAACGAACTCTTTTTTCGAATAAAAAGGAACAATAGAATAGAAATACTATAACAGATTAGGAATCAATCTAAATCTAGGTCTCAGTCCTAACCACTTTAAACAAAGAATTTAACTGCCATTTAAAATTAGTAACGTTTTAGTATTGGAATAGGTAATCTATTTTTTCTGATAACTCCTACATACGGTTGGGTGCTACGGCGTAGCATCGATTCTTTCTTTCTTTTCTTTAACCTAGGTACTTAAATGTGATTTTCATTTGTGTTTGGGATTGCAGATCTAATAATTGACATGAAGAATAACATATCTATTCTCTCTAAGTGTATATTCCTATAACAGTTCATAAGTCCGGTTTGGTTATTTAGTGTTATAATAATAGGTAATAATCGTGTTCAAAAAATACAAGATATACCTGCACCCTGCGTCTTATAGATTGAGGTGAAATAGAAATCATAAATTCCAATAACTTTGTTTTATTAGTCATGCACAGACAGATATTTAGCTACTTATATTACAAAAAATCCATTCTTACTACGCATATTATTTTAATCTGTAGGTGCTACACTCGATATTGTATCGTATCACTAGAACGTACATAAAATATATGTATTACAAAAAAATGGTTTGAAATCCATGACCGTTTCAGCGTTTAGTCTTTACCAATAACATTGGGTGGACCTTAATTTACACTTATTGTAATTATCACTGTAGCGTGACACTAGATAACCTCAGATAGGGCACGTGAAACTATGACATTGAACAGATATTTTAATAAAAATAGTGTAATACCATACCTACTGAACTAATTACATACGTAGATAAATATTTAATTTGTCGGTTGGTAGAATGTCAGAACATAAATCCTGAATGTATTGTGATAGGTATAAGGTAACGGTAACTTATCTGCATACTGTCTAAGTTACATGCAGAAGGCATTCCGAAACCATATGCACATACAATAATATTTTTATTTCACACGTGAATGTGAATCTGGTTCTCGTGTTATTATTCGACATTGACACTGTTTTTGACCAAATGATATGGCACCTGAAGAGCCATACGATTAGTTACCTATTGACGTCAACAATCTAAATATTTCCTAGATTAGGAAACTGGTTTATTATTTCTTCTGCAAAATGTAATTTTGTTTGTCATATTGTTTTTTTACTACCTATTCGTACGAAGCCACTATTCACCTTGTAAGTTGTAAAACTTTTATATGGTATAAACGCTTCAGTGTAACCACGTAGCAACTGCATAATATTGGGCAAATCCAGTCTATCTATCAAGTTTGGTATTAAAATGTGCTCTCAACTGGAACTCTACAACCGATGATACTATTCTCATAGAGGAATTAGGAAGCACAAAAATACATCAATGGAATTGATTGATTTGTCCATGAATTACTTAACTAACGTCCAAATATATTGAGATCCATTTTGATAAACAAGTTCAGCGAGCCCTTTTTATTTCCTACTAACAATATAGAACCCGCAAGACTCAGTCAGTAAATTAGTGCCACATTTAATGAGAAGCAACTCTTTTACCATACAATCCAATACATAAAAATCCAAACGATATCTGCGACATTATTTATTAGGTTCTGTTATTGTCAGACGGACGTGTTTGCAAGACAATGCTAATGCTACTGTATTCATCATTCTGGCATATCATGGAGGTCCCTTTGTCTTTATGATACAAAGTCTAGCTATTTACCGTATAACTAAGTAACATATTCTGATTTCAGTACTTTGTTCACTGGTGGACGCTACATCCTGGCTGGTACGAACAACACGGAGAATGACAGTGGTGTCAGTCGTCGTGTGAAGAGACAGGTCATCCACCCACTGTTCACTGTGGGACCATACTGGCTCGATGCTGATGACTTCAACCTCAAACAGGTAGGCAACAATGGGACTTATTTCTTTTTGAACCTATGTAGGTACTTACTACGTCCAACAAAGACTTGCATCAAGAAAAATTAAAAGAAAAATATGAGTAGCAAATAAAAAATGCCTACATAGTTGAAACATGTGGTCATCTGAGTTTATGAGGAAATTCATTATTACGTTAGGTATCATAAGAGATTTAAACACATCCAAGAAGTGATTTTAATGCATTTTTTACCTATATTAACAGGTGGCTGCCCGGTGGGACTTCTTGCTGGCCGAGTTGAACGAGCCCCTGCCCCTGGACGGAAAGACAATGGCCGCAGCTCCTTTGAACGACCAGTCCAACTTACCTGTTGGACTCAACGTGGGATACGCCGGCTACGGTACCGACCACTTCGGTGTAAGTATTCTAAAGAACTTCATCCTTTAGAAACTTGTTAGTTAATTAACAAGCTGTAGTCCTAACAAATTCCTGATCGAGAAAAGGAAATGAAAGAAAGATAAACGTTAAGAAATGTATACCTATAGTTAGATACTTGGCAACAAGCCACGATATAGCAAAAACACAAAAAATAAAATATAATAAAGCTTCAATATAGTCACCTACATTTTTTAGCATAAGTGTATAGTGAGTCAGGTAAATGGCGAAAGTAGGTAAGTACTTTGTAGGTAATTCAATAAGAAACCTACCTCATCATTCATTAAGTATCGCATCGCAGATAAATACTGAAACCGCTAAAAGTGATAGGTACCTACTGCAATTGCACCCTACATATTCATGAGACCGTGACAATTTCTTTTTTTGCTTGATATCGAAACCGCTAGTGCCACTACATTGGCAACTCGTAACTTTCATTTCATTACATAGCACATAGGCATATACGTAGGTACTGGGTACCACCTACTTAAAACAAAAGAAAATCTAGGTTATTAGATCTTCGAAGGACACCTACTAACGACTAAAATTAATAAGCTACCTAAAAACGCAGGTACAATTTCTTTACACGCTCTAGACGCTCTCTCTGAAAGACCTCTAGGGTATCAGCATCCAACATATTTATTTCAGTTAAAACTAAATTATTCGAGATTGTACAACTTACAATGCACGTGCGACGATCCAAAATTCAGTAAATACGACTTAATAACATTTCTACTCGTTGTTCCCAGGGTACCATGCGCAGTGACATGCACGGAATGGAGTTGGCCGTACAAAGTGACGACGTGTGCTCCACTCTGGAACAGTACAACAGCAAGGACATGCTGTGTGTCAAGGGACGCCCACCGCGGTACGACTCCGCTTGCAACGTAAGTGTCAACAAGATTTTAATTTAAAAAACCCTCTGCACATGTAGCAACCCAAACCTGTAGTCGAGACTAACAAAGTCTTAATATTAGCTCGTCTCAGGAACAGATAGATCTCATTTGGTCGAAATATCCCATTAATTTTGAATGAAACTTATAAAATACTTACTTGACTTAAGGTCCTATGTCTTCTAATGGGCAGAGGACGTCCACAAAAACTTCCATCGACTCGTTAAGATAAATATCGAACAAATAAATTAGATTGAAACGTTAACTATTGACCCATAACTTAAGAATACATTTCACGTAATAAAAATGGTCATAAAGGTGCAGGCGAAGGTAGCCACTAAATGTAAGAATATGGGTTAGGCGCCTCTTCCAATTTTGGTAGTAAACACATTACATGTTCTTTTGCTTTTCCAGGGTGATAGCGGCAGCGGCTTGGTTGATGAAACTGGCAAACTCATCGGTGTCGCCTCTTGGGTGGAGAATGATGCCCACGAATGCAAAAATGGAGCCCTAGTCGTGTTCTCCAGGGTGTCCAGCGTACGTGAATGGATCAGACAAGTTACAAACGTCTAACAAAACTGCCACATAGCAATATATACGTATACACATAACAACAGATCAATATGTAACATTATGTTGACTAGTCAAGTAAAGTTGTTCTCCAAAGAATTTGTTAAGTAACGTGTGACACTCAGATATCATTCACAAACTAAAATTATATAATTGTTTTCATGACAACATTGAGATAGGAGTTAATAGCCTTATTTTGTACTTAGCATTTTTAGAATTAGATTAAAGTACAAATATAAGTAAGTGGTCTGGTTGTGATATTGTTTATTGTATGATAATAAACTTTAATCAAACATAAAAATGGTTAAAACATAACTAACGACTTACATAAGTTATTATGTAATATTTAAGATCTTGTGATTTTTGTTATAATAAACTTATTAAAATATTCACCATGAACACCCTGGTTATCAAAATAATTCTTTAAGATATCAACACCCTGTGTCCCCAATATAATCCTCTATCAAGTCTATACGACTCATACTATAGTAACAATACGCCTAGAGCTGCCGATAGACAAAATACTGTATACATAATTACCTATGTCACACAGGAAAACATGTAGACTATCTGCAAACATCTATGCATTCTATAATAAACATAGATTAAGAAATAAAACATATATACACATACGCAAAAATACAATAAGGCAGTTACCACAATAAAAAAAATATGTTTGTAGGACTTTATAGATTGAAAAAAAACTAAAGTACCTATTGTCAATCTCACTCTCACTAGAACTGATTTAATTTTATAGGTAAAAAGTTAACTTGATATTAAAATTTTTATACACTACCTAATCGAATCTCATAGAAAATTCATACAAAACTATATACTTTTGTATGAATTTTCTGAGATTCGATTTTTATTTTTGACGTATCGGTAAAAGTATGTAGGTATTAATACATTTGGAAATAAGCCTAATGAACGAATAAAAGTCCATTGTTACGTTAATGTAAAAAAACAAATTGCAACATCTTTGTGAAAAAAGTGTTATAGAGAATAGATATTAGACAAATAGTTTTGTTCAACTATTTCTACAGAAAAAATAAAACAATTTAGTACAATCCATTATTTTAGATAGATAGATATAAAGTTTAGTGTACACCAAGTGCTTAAAGACATTATTTAAGCATGATAACAAAAGATACTGCTGAATTCTTTCTACTACATTATAAAGTATACCTAATTTTTGTGTCAATCACTATAAGTCTTTGATTAGAATTTTATTTACGCCTGAATGAATATAAGATGTAACACTCCATTTATGTCTGAAACATTTCTATGTATACATATTTCTATAAAAAAAAAATCATTTTTATTGTTTTATGGGGACCAACTGTTTGAAGATCAATAAAACATACCCAGTGAATTTATTAGCAAACGTATATTTGGTGCAATCAACAATATTAACATTTTTTCCTTGGAGAATAATAAGAGGTTGATCGCCTCGCCGTAATGTGGCGCACACATAGCAATATACTTTGTCAACAGTCATATTAGGATAAAACGGGTTCCTTTCGAATAAGAATCAAAGGTTCAAATGAAGAAACTTGTGTTATTAATGTGAAAGTTAACTTTTAGTGGGTTAATTGAAATAAAAACATACATATGTTCCTGAAAATTTAATGACTTTAATAAGAGAATAACTAAATTAAAACAGCAAGATAGAAGGAAAATCATTCATTAACATCATCTTTATCTGATTATGTTCAAGCGAAAAGACCAAAATTAATCAATGACCTAACAAAATATACAACAAAAGTCATTAAATAATTAAGTCCAACCAATCAGTTAGTCTACTGTGGACAACGACCGAAGCGATACATAGGTATTATTGATTCAACTTCACCACTAAATGAACAAGTTACATAATACAACTTACAATTTTGAATAATATTGTGATTAAAAGAAAAAAGCTAAATAATTCTTTTTCTACTTATATGTGTAATAATATAAAGTGTCGACTACTTATAATATTTTATAACTATCCGTAGCTTACTTAAAATTTCACACAAAGAGCGGAGCGGCGTGGGAGCGGCTGGCGTATATGTAACTGATACTGGCAACATGGCGCACGCGGGTATCGGGCACCCGGGGCCGGCCGCCCGCAGCCGTCGCGCTCACTTAGCCGATACACACCACAATCTCGCTAAACTCTAGTCACTTATGCCGAATGTTAAGACAAATAAGAAAGCGACGACTTCCCAAACCAAAATAACATTACTAACAATTTGAAGATGATGTTAATTCACAGTCCGAGTCGGCGCGGTGCAGTCGCGAACTAATCGTTGTCTAGCACAGATGCGGCCTGCGGAGGTTCGCTACTCTATCACGGTCCGAATGTTTGTCACAAACACGAGTCAAGTCGGCGGCAGCGAACTCCTTACAATGTACAACTAGGCGATCGACGGAGAGACGAGCCCGGCCGCGGTCGGCTGAGTCGGCTCCGACTACCATTGTTACGTCGATATGGTCAAGCGCGCTACGCTCTCCGTTGGAATCATAACAATGTAGGTTTTTTTGGGAGTTTTAATTTTTTACAATATATAGGATTTGTTTCTATAATTAATTATATCTAATATTTACAATGGAGGTGAACGGACAATATTCAAACTCTACTTATTATCTCAAAAATTAATCCTGAATTCCTACCCGAAACGAACATTATCTACAACTTTTAATAAAAATTTAAAAGTAAAACTCTCGCCACAAATAAATCTAAATACAGTAGATCGAGTCTGTGTTTCCTACGCTGTCGCATTCGTCCGAATAACGGTGTCAGTCGCGAGGCAAAGGAGCTCTCGTCAAATAAAAGAAACGAAACAAAGAGAACGAACGACGGCACGACGTCGTCGACCTGCAGTCGAAAATACATACAAAATGCAAATAAGAAACACAAACTCGATCGAATATTTATTTAGAGAAAATCATAAAACGTATGTAATGCGGTGCGGTGAGGGTGTAGTCCTAGGACAGGCGGAGGGGCTCATATCTTGTGTATCTTCTGCGACACCACCACGGGGTTGTTGCGGCGGATCTCTTGCGCACCCAGCTCTCGGTAGTCGAACGAGCACTCGTGCTTGTCGCTGTACCGGTGCACGGCGCAGAACAGCCCTCCGCAGCGGCACTCGAACCCTGAGCCAACACCACGCATGTACTCGCCACGTCGCTACCGAGCGTGTGTCACACGCTATACTATTGCATACTCGTTATCTCTCATTTAAATGTCGTACATTAAAGCACGAAGACTATGTAAAGAACATTTAGTAAGTTGTACAAAATAAATTTGTGAAAACGACATATTGCATTGAATCAAACTATTATCAATGACTACTACTTTTAAAGTTTAACTACTTTTTACTATTACAGTGTAATAAATGACTCCAATAAAAATTCAAGAACATTTTTTACCTGTGAGGCCAACCTTCTTGCGGCAAACGGCGCATCTATTCTTTTTCTTTTTGTCCTTGCTAGGATCCTTGTCGTCGGCATCGGTGTCCGAGGTGCCAGTGCTCGCCCCGCTTGTGCCTGCTCCACTCTCCTCTTCCAATTTCTGAAATTTATCACAAGTACATTAATAATTTGAAGTTGCACATTTTAAACGCTTGGGATAATGAAGTAAGCCAATGCACTGCAAAAGCAAATCCACGCCCAATGTTAGCAGATTAAATGTATAACACCGGTAACTACCCCAATCTATATAGCTATACTTCTAACAGTATTACAAAATAAAAAATAATTTTAATGCGCTTATTTATCGAAATCAAGACTAAACGCAGGTACAAGTCGTCACATCAATCCGGAGTAAACGTGTTCAAACTGTGTAAACAGTTTAATCTGGTTGCAACAACTTTAAAGACCAACCCTTTTAAGATTCTTTTTTCCGCCTTCTGCCTCTGAAGGGCGCTGATCTTTATTTTCGAGCTTCGGAGAAGATATTTTTATGCCCTTGTTAGATACAGAGGGAACCTCTTTATACTCCTGTATGCCCACTTTATTGGCCTTGCCTGTATCTGTGATTGGATCCTGGGTGGGCTCATTTTGGGCACGGTCATCAATCTTTATCTTTTGGCTGGCATCTGGTTTTCCTTGGTGCCGTCGGGCGTCGGCAACGGCGCACTGTCATTGATCTCGATGGAGAGACCTTTATTCTCGAAGCTCTTGGATCGTGTCACGCTGATGCCTTGCTCTAAGGCAGAGTTCTGGCTGCTATTGTTAGATTTACTGATGCGGCGAATTGCTTTTTTGAATATCCTCTTCCCCTTCGACTCTTTTTTACTAGGGTCATTTTCCATTATTCAGATTTTTTGTAGACTTCAGGTTGTGCATTTTGACTACAAATCACCATTGTTGAGAGAACACCAGATTTAACGCTTAGAATTTTTTGATTATGGCTATTTTTGTTTTATTTCAAATAACAAAGATATGAATTAAATTTGTAATCTCTACGTAGTTTAATCGTTCGGAGCAATAACCACTTTACCAGTTACGATGTAAAGGTGCCCCTCATCTCAAGTCAATGACTCGAGGGACTAAACATATCAAAAATGTTACATTTTAAAAGCTACGAAACAACAAACAACTGTTTTTGTAAAAAAATTATTAAATATAAACAAAATGACTGTGTAAACTGAGTCAAAGCAATATTTTTTGGTTTTCCTGCCGTTAATGCAATGTCAATACGACATAAGTTTTTGTTTTAAAAATAAGTACAGCTGCCAGTGGTTTTTGGTTCTTGAGCAAACAGTTTTTACATAGAGGGAAGCAAAAAGGGTTAATATATCACAGGTCCATCCCAGAAATGAATAAACCGTTGACATAATTATGTACTCGACCAATGTCGTTCGTAGGTACGAATACGGTGATTGTAAAACGAATTAACTATAAGATTTGCGATTCAAGTTTCAGTATAGACTGCATTTGCGTGGCGTCACACGAACTATTCCATAGAGCATCGACGCGTTACACAACGTACACGTGTTATTGCAGTGACACTCGCCAGCTTGATAACATAATCTGACATTACGGGCTACGGTGATGTGCGAACATAACTAACAATTACTAACGTATAGCCGCAATCTGTTCACTTTATTCTAAATAAAATCAAGTGCCGCATCTCAAAATGGCGAATCATTTTATTTGCCATTTCATGTTATTTTTTTACTTGTTGAATCATTGTAATGATATCATCATAAGTAACGTAGCTTAGACGCTATCAATATGACGGGAATTATATCAGCACATATACTTCGCCGTTTGTTTTTCACAAAGGAAAGAAACTTATCAGCAAAGTGTCGTTTTGCGCCACTATCACAAACAAACAATCTCGAATTCTCAAATGAAGTTTGTGAAGATTTTATTTGCAACTAAAGCGATATATATATACATACATTAACTTGAAATAATGAATGTGATCAATCTTACCTGTTATGCAATTGGAACAAAAATCCAACACCACCATATAAAGTGTAGCATTAAATTAATGTTATTGTATAACATAGTTCATGATAAGGTATGTAATATATGGCTATTGCGGTATAATTATCACTTCATCCTGAAGCATCTACCAGACATTCTTAATTTGGAATTGGGAAAAGAAATTGTGAACCAAGATTACAAATATTGGTGACCTCATTACCAAACAATGACATTTAAACATACTATCATAAGGTTCACAATATCTTCATTAATTGCTATTTACGTTGATATAAGAATGATAAGCTTTAAATGAGTACTTTTATTCACATGTTTACGATTACGAACAAAATTAAGGGAAATGCATGACTCAGTAAATACATTTATTTGGGCCAATCTTGAAGTTCTTGGAACTGATAATACGTCAAGTTGATGTCCATAGGAATGTTGTGCAAAGATTAGATGGAAGCAGCGAATGACGAATGAAATATTTAGTGGTGGTGAGAGATGTTTGGGGTAATAAGAGAAGTGCGGCCTCACGTCTGTATGCGTCTGTGGCTGGGCGGGCAGACTGGGCACGGTGGGAGCGGCGGCTGCCAGCGGCGTCGACGGCGCCGCTACGAAGGGCGCTGACACGGGCGACGGGGACGACGCTGGTGGCTGCTGCTTCTTCTTTAAAGCTTCCTGGAAAGTTAACAAAACAATATCACGAAAATGTATCTAACTTGTGTTTCGCTGTTGTCATGGTTGCATCTACTGTAGTTCCTGGCCTACAGGAGCTGCAGCGGTTTTGGGAAGAGTGGCGAGCTTGCCACGAAAAATACAGTCACTCGCTATCCAACCATCAGTGCATAGAACGTGACAAACACATACCTGCATACTGTTTCAAACAAACCACGGAATAGGTATGTGCAATAGCACTTATACTGCTAAAATCTAGTCATGCGTGGGCGTGAACACAACATAAATCTAAATAAGCCAGTTAGCGCAGTTTTGGGTCATATCTTGTTTATTTTTATATTAGTTTTCTTTCACCTTATGAGATGAAAGATTGCTAAGGTAAGGTTTCTGTATAGTGTATACCAAAATATACTTATGTATACAAACATTTATGATAGAATGATTCCATGAATTTACAAATATGAATGATAGTAATTAATTATTACTAATTTTACCAAAAACATCTAAAATTTTGCTGTGTAAAGAAGAGAAAAGCTTTAAATCTCGATTGAGAGCAAGCCAGATTTAAAACTTACAGCCTAATAGGTGTCGGTTCGAGATAGATTACCTTAAAGCATACTGAGCAGAGTCCGTCTGTTGAGGGATTTCCATAAAATCCACACCCTGAGCGGCACAACGTTTCCATCGGATTCGATTCGCGCTCCATTGTTCCACTATATAATTTCACTTTAATATAATAAAGTCACTTCACTCGAGTTAGTAGTCAAAAATAGGATTGCACTAATTGTATATTGCACTTGTTTGTCGTAACACACAGTGTTCCACAATAGTACCGGCAAGTATGCTGCACTTAGTAACGTTTCAATTTAGATTTGATTATCTCTGGCTTGTGTCCGCGGCTAGTGGCTTTCCTTGTCGACGAGCTGCAATTCCTTCTATGTCAGGATCGTAGTGGGCCCTGTAACAACCAAACCACATCTTTATAAAAGCGTTCATCTTCAATGTCCCAAAATGACAGTGCTACGAAAACGAACAATCGAAAGCTGATACATTTAATCGAAGACAGTATCACATTGTATCAGTATACAGAACATGATTATCACGTAGAAAGTGGAATTAGGCGTAGTATATGATTTCGTAGAAGCAAACATAATATGCATAACGACAGGTTTGCGTAACAAGAGAGAGCTAACGCTAAAGTGGAACGTGCCCGCGAAACGGATCACCCGCGTGCCCCGCGCCCCACGCCAAGGTCGCTAAACTAACAACACTTGCATGCCTCTTGTCAACAATATCGACAAAGAAATAAATCGATATTGCGGTAATCTCTTGCACCAACCTCAGCAGCGGTTGCAGAAGAATTTTACTTTAAAGTAAATAATTTGCAGTGACTGTCACGTTCACGTTTATCAGCCAGTGTATTGACGAGTTAAAAGATCAAACCTATTGAACACTACTTGTTCTTCCAAGACTAATTTGTGTTGCAATGCAACTATGGAAGAGTTATGGTAGTGGTAATAATAACAAACTCCTGTATAACTATGTCTACTAGAAGACACTGAATGCATATAATTATGACCCGTAGATGTTGTGTCAATGTTCAAAAATTGCCATTGATAATGTTAACGAGTGGAGAGTGTGCGGTAAGGTCATTAGCACCGGGCCTGGGACTTGGGGAGTCATCGACCGGGCTGCACGCAGGGGTGCAAGGCGTCGTCGGCGCCCGCGCACGCCCGACGCTCGCGTATTCATTATTATATCAATATAGAGACGCACCATATCACATACACTGCACACTGCATCTTCGTTCAAAGTCCACAATGTACGTGACAGAGAAACGCTGACGAGACTGACTGATTACTTGAGAAACTAATTCGATAGAATTCGATAACTTTGGCGTGGTGAACGTGTTGTAGTAACGTAAACATTTGTGTACGTTGGATCATAAATTCATTGGTATACTTTTTAATTTTTAATTGCACAGATATTTTGCGTTGTTTAAAAAACGTTATTAATTTACTACTTTCTTTAAGAAAACCTATACTAATTACTGATACTTAAATAAAAAGACCAAATGCAAGGTTTTCCACATACACGACAACATTTTTTCAAAATAAAAATTAGTCAGGTCCTATTTATGAACTACTTAATATTAGTTAATATAGTGCATCGAAAATATCGTAACAATTAATTTCGTATGAAAATAACTTGGTAAATTAGAGACGGGTTGCATGCAGCAATTAACAACTTTAAGTAATATTGATACTAAATAAGTATGCCAAGGCGACTATCAACCTATTCAAGTAGACGGAAACGTGATGTTCAATTATAGCAATAAAGCGGCCATGTTTACCGAGTTGCCAAATTCACGCTATCAGTTAGAGCTTAGGTATTGAGCTAATACTCAAAACGAACTAATAATCAAGTTTCTATCCAACATCGAATTACCAAATCAAACTATTAATATAGTTAAATGAAATCATTTCAAATCGAGTGTTGTTTTCTTGAGAATATGTAGAGCCGGGAACTATACTCCGTCTGTTTAGGTAGTTAACTATTTGTAAACAAACCATAAAAAGAGTTCTTTATAGTTGACATTTCCATGATTCAAAATACTTCATAAGAAAATAAAATTGTTTCCCTTTTTACGACAGTTTTCTCTATTAAATGTTATGTTTCTGTTCCTTTTCACTTATTTCTTAAATATATATATATCTGCTTGAGGAGATTAATTTAATAACATTTATTAAATAATATAATATTTCATTACAATAGACACCATAAAGAGCCTAAAATCCCAGGTATCCAAAACCCTTCTTTAACAACGAAGCAAAATAATGTTGTCAAATTAAAGAGTACAACTAAGATGTAGCGCGACAATGAAAGTAGCGTGTATTACGTTTAGTCGGTTAATCAGGCGCCATTGACAGCTCTCTCGTCGTTTGCGCTCGCGTTCTTATTTTGTTGAATTTATCTTGTGTCTTTGTTTTGTTTTTGTTATTAAGTTATTTAAGTTTAGGTATACATCGTTTGTAATTAATGTGTTCAAATATATTGAAGAAACTTGGCCCAAAGACACATATCCGTACAAGAAAGAAATCCGTACATCAGATTCAAAATAGTTTCTATTTAAACATGATAATGAAATAGACCCATAGGCTAGGCTCTTGTACGATTTAGGCATTTGTACTTGTATGTGTGTGTATGACAAATGAACGATTATAAAGTGAATTTAGTTAAAATTAAAACACGAGAAATATTTGAAGTAATAGTAGGTTAAGTATCTCTGTGTCACGTGGTTTTCTTTGTTTACCTTTAGTTAATTACCTAAACAGATGGACTATAGATAAGTCGTAAGGTATCTGTCTTCGGAGCTATGAGGTGCGCGTGTGTGTGTGTGTGTATGAGATACGTCGCGACGACAGCGTCGGCGGCGGGGCCGTGGTGAGCCGTGCCCCGCTGACCCAGTTGCCGAGTGTTCGCTACGCAATTCGAGCGCGACCCGCTTCGCAGTGCACCGACACACACACACCGAGACACCAGTCATACGACATCACATCCCACCGATAACACTGCACCCTTGTCGCGACACATGTGCCTACGCACCACCCCTACAGAGACATACCACCAGTCAACCGTAAAATTACCACCCACGAACAGTTACAAAAAACAAACCATGTAGGTAGGGAACGTGGGTAAACATGAAGAATAACTAAGGTAAAAATGTGATAAAGTACGCTAAATGGAATGCATGGACGGTGTAAATTAGGCAGGGCAAGCACGTTTTGCAACAACAGTTTGACATAATTTTCTATATTATTACAAAGCAAATAATATATTTTCCTTCCTGTTTTACCTAGTTGCTAAGGTGAAAAACCAGATAATAACTACCTATGTATTGACCATGATGTTCGACTACATTGGGTATTCAAACGAAATATCTAGTTAGTAGTTAGCATTTTTGCTTTGATATGTCTAAGTATTGATAACATTGTTCTGAATGTTCCCTATACAACGATATCATTTAAAATCTTTTACTATAATAAAAATTTATACATTATTCAATTAAACAACTGTACCTAACTATAATCCAGAAATTAGATGCATCACATCACCATTTTACCAGTTGATCAAGACGCCAGTGACGTCAACGCTGTAAAATTGTACCTATACGAGATATCCAGTTCTACTTTCCACTCCCCTCATTTTCGACCAATTTCAATGATGTTTTAGCATTATGTACTTGATGGTTATGTTTTTAGGGAAGATCTCTAGCCATAGTCATATAATTAACATCCAATAGGCACATATTTATTAAAAACAAACCTTATAATATAAGCAGTTTTTTGCGTTTAGCATAAGAGGCCAATAAAACTGAGAGCGTTTGCTTCCAATTACACTGAAGTCATCACTTTCTCACTGAGTAACGCATCACACAGACTTAGAAAGAACAGAATAGCCGCGCATCAAATCAAAACAGACTATTCCGAGTGTGTAGCTATGCGTATAGCTAGTAGCTACTATTAATAGATAACCAATTACCGATGAACATAAAATAATTATGAAAGAATAAACGTCAAAATAAAACAGCTGAAGCTATTATTGGTATCGGTGGATTAAAACTCCAATATTCAGGCTACCTCAAACAGTACATAATATTATGTAGGTCGACACGAGCCCCATAACACGCATAAAAGCTCCACTCGGTTCTATACATAGGTACAGTGCTCGAATTTACGTCTGGTTGAGACAAGATACAGGTCTGACCACTCGATCAACGGTAACAGTAACGGTACAAGACACAAAAATCGTGCAGCGCAAGAAAAATCCTACGAAAACCCGACTGCGTTACCTTTATCTACCTACTCAACTAGCTAAAGAATTATAAAGTACTGGCGATTACAGCTAGTCTCTTCGAGAAAAACGGCTTTCCACATCAATAACCCATGCTGTTGTTACACATAAATGTGACATTTATTCCTACAATACTTTATCTGCCTTGCTTGACACAAGTATGTACGACGACATTCTAACGGGATAGATGCGCGTCAAAATTACAATTACAATAAAATATAATCCCACATAGGTACAGGTTAGGAAACAATTAAAAAGAGATATTATTATGTTTAAAGGAAAACGAAACAAAACTTAAAAATACGGAAACTGAACGATGACGTTTTGATCGAGGTCAACGATGTTTTGCCGGGCGTAAACAGGCTGTTTAGAAAAAAAAACGGCAATAATAAAGTAACATCTGTCCGTGTTTAAGTAGAATACCTATGTGTGTAGTGTGTATCTATCTTAGCGGAAACGTTTCTGACCAAAAATAGACTAGCCAGGGTCTTACAATATCTTCCGCAGTTCCGCGTGGGTAAACTACAAAGGAACTAGCCAGCAAGCGGCATAGACAATAAACTCATAATTCAAACTGGATCGTTCAATAGCCAATAAGGTGAAAATGCAAATAGCCAGGACGGGAAGGACAATGACATTAGCATTTAAAGGAAGAATTTTGCGTCATCAACTACACAATGACGCGGCGACAACGAACACGCACGGCAAGATGGCCGCCGCAGCGTCAGCTGATCGCGCACACGCAGCGCAGCTGTGACACTGCGAGCTCCACTCTCATAAATCATTGTGAGTATATCGCTCTCTCTTTCGTCCGCACCTATTCAACACAATGGACGCGCTCAGTCATTGTTTGAAACACAATGCTCACTACACACTTTGCTACTAGTTGCTAGTAACATACGTACATTATTGAAATAGTTGCGCACCCAATTGTGTATCAAATCAACAGGTACATACAATTCATCATCTAGGATTTTATCGAAAAACGCAACATCGCTGAATCACGTTTTAACTTAAAATATTCGTAGAAAACGAGTTACTTATCTTTTAGTAAATGTGAGAATAATAAATATATGTATTACAATATTGTTGTAGCAATTTAAATTCCCTGAATCTGATTAAATTAATGACATACGTATACCTACGTCTAAACAAACAATGTGCGCAATAACAATTTGACGATAACACCAACACACAAACACATCGTGATAGAACTTACTAGGATCAGTCAAAACATTTAACACAGTCAAATACAAAGTAGGCAATTTGTAAGTATCTACCTAGGTATATCACGAATTTATCATTTTGAGGTCCGTTACAACTACCTACTTAATGTGTACATAAATTATCATTAACAGACATATTTCTATACATAACTACGTGGGGGTATATGTGTTGTATTGATAATGTCTCTTAGAAAACTTTTAATCTTTATTGTAGTTTACAACCACGCAAAAACAAAGACTTGTTCTATTGAACTAGTCAACATAAACGCATATTGACGTGTTTTATTTATTATTCACTCATCTACTATTACTGCTTACTTTGAGACTATTTTCTTTCATAAATATATTTGAGAAAACAGTCATTAAAATAATTTCAGCTCATTAATACATCGTACAATCATCGCCTGTGTTAGTTAACGAAGCTATGTTGGTACGATGCGACATTGATAAACGAACAATCACTGTGTAACTATGTACCGACTACATTGTCTACACACGAATAGCACAAGTAAATCGAGTCACAGATTAGTTAAAGGTATCACAATATTTGAAAGACAATTAGTTTTGCATGTCGAAAATTGCATTAAGTTTTGAACACGTGAGGACGTTGACCTTCTGACACCAAGGTCGGGGCGGCGGCCTTCAAACAGCCTCGTCTAGCTGGCGCACAGGCTCCTCTCAGACACATCTCGAAACACAGACGCACACAAAAACAACGCACACTTAACTATATTACCTTCGAGTGGGAACACGAGCCCATGGCCACGTAGAAACTACGCTCGAAAGCGCCTCAAAGTCACAAAAACGATATCACTGACACATTAAAACGTATTCAGGCAACGCGGCGCACTAATTCGCACAATTATCTTGAAAGATAAGGTGCAATAGTCGCACCCGATGTTGAAAACTGTGTTTGTAACATGTAGCGAGTGTATCGGCCACGCTGGGACGAGCTCCGACGCGCTCGACGAACTGGCGAGAACTGAGCGAGGAGCGGCAGCGGTCGCGCTCACCCGCCGCCGCCTGCAACTATTCGCGTCATTCCATTCTACACGCGCACGCACTCACCAATACAAACAAGCCACTGGTCGCCGCGCTCGTTCACAACACATGTCATGCCCGATCCGACCAAACACTGCGCAACTTACATCAAATACGTCGCTATACACCTCACAACTCTCATCTCTGTGAGAACACTCTTTCTTCGGTCACTTAGTCCGTCAGTTCTAGTAGTGTATCTGGGCTTACCCAGTTGATGTATGACTCACAGTTTCGTGTTGAGAAATTGTGCATGAGTCAACACTTTCCACAAATCAATTTTAATTTCTTATTATTATGAGCAATGCAATATTCTTCTTTTTGTTCATATTTCAAATAGTAAGCACGTAATAGAAACTACGTGATTCGATCACCTTGAGCACACAACACAAACTAGTCTGTACGTTTATTTATGCTTTAAATAATGCGAACAACTTTACTAAAAACGCCAACTTAAGCATCTCATTACCTTGATTTATCACAAGTATTCCAATATTAAAATGTACTCACACAAACAAATAGTAATAAAAAAGAGAGATTATAATTTTGTTTCCTTTTTTTACTCGAGAAGAACATTAAATAAACTGGTTTTAATCAACATTGCTACAAAACGCATCGCGACAATGTTTTTAATTTTCTTCCCGTTGCCTGTACCTTAGTAAATAAACTATCGAGTTTACAAAACATCGGTTGACAAATATTTATTTTAATTTGATTGATTCAATCATCAAAATTCTAAAAAACTAATCTGACCATTGACGACCTCATTGACATAATTACTTCTTTTCTGAAGAAACTGTTGAAGCCGGGACAGTAAAAATCAACAGTACAATGCACCCTGAGATAAAAGTGAAATCACCAATAAAGATCAATATTTGAATGTCGTCGACGTTCAACCTAATATTAACCGAACTGCGTAAATGGCTAAAGCGTCACTCTCTCATCCAGCCAAATCAAGAATGTCCAATTTAATGAAAATAACCTTACAGCATTATTTACCTACTTATACCGTTTTGCGCACTTCAGCACTTGTCAATGACAAGCAGTTTTATGATAATGGCGAAAAGGTCGTGAGAGACGATCGCGTACACAAACAAAGCCATGCGTGCGAAGTGGTCGGTGCGGCGGTGGAGGCGACGGACGCAGACAAAGCCGCGACGGAGCAAGTCGTCGATCTCCCCCGAATTAGTCCTGGCCGGGGCGCTGACCTCTGCGGGCCACGCGCCCGCCGCCCGCACCACCGCTCCGTCACTAATCAGCGTCGTGCGGGACACGCACTACGTCCATCCCTCGGCAAAACTAAACGCCATCGATACTGACTTCATCATATTTAATGAAAACTAAAGCGTGACCAATTATCAGGTAAGACTTCGACAAGATAACTGAGTCAAGTTTATAACAAAGGGACAAAGACCGACAGCGATCATTCCCGTAAGGTCAATGTAATAAGAGCACGTGGATCTTGAGGTCGAACTCTTACTGAGGACGGCGCTTATTACATCGTGTTTTAGATGTCGATTATTTGGCACCTAAAAAGGTGGGTAATATACCTAGTACATTCAACCAAAGCCACTAGCTAGCCAAACTGCAACTGTCTATTAATAGGAGCAGTTACGCTCAATGACAATAATACTTTGCTGACATAACTTTCCAGAAACCTATCATACATATTGTCATATTATGTATCATAAATCCTAATGCCCGATTTATGACACAAATGTTTTTATTTTTATCAAGAAAATTAACAAAATAAAGAGTAGAGTGCATTTCTTATATTTCAATCTATGTTTAAATTTTATATTTCTGATTTTTGCAACTCATATGCTAATTGAAGAAAACAAGGGAAGATTGTAACAAAGGTATGGCACTACAAACTGAAATTGTTAAGCCACAGTGACTGTGCAGAAATTATGTAGATTCAAAAGTAACATAAATTGCAGGAGAATGGTACTTTCTCTTCACAATCATAAAACTATACCAAGCTGTGGTTAAGGGGAGTGCATACCTGATGTTGAAGTGAATTTCGTACCAAACAAATGTCTTTCCAAGTGCGCAGGCCCTTCAGCTCACAACCAGGCGACACCACGTCTGTGCGGTTGAGGTCAGCATCCACCGGCATCACAATGAATGGTTACACCACCTGAGACAAGCGACACAATCTATCTATTAAAACTAATGCGCCTTTATGTTCTCTCATTAACTGATGACCTCATTGTTCAATAATTCATGGTTCCAAGTAAACTCAAATTAACTATCTACACTTTTCATCAAAAACAACTGTTTTATATTTGAATCAATCAAACAAACAAAGAGATGTTTTCATTTGACCACACAAATCAAACGAAGGTAGAAAATGGTAACAAAAAGAATCAGTTTTTAATCCCCTACTGTAAATAGTCATAGGCAAGACTCTCTTGTATATAACATTCAAATGGAATTATTACAATAGTAAATAAGATACTATGATTAAATTTGTTTATTGCATGTTGATCTTAGTGGCTATAGATCAATGCATATTTTTTATTAATCATAAATAATCTATGTAATTATTCCATGAAGTTGAAAAGAAACAGCAATCATATAATATTATAAGTTTTCTTGTATAAAGTATTCATAATGGAATTCCCAAAGTTTAGGCAGGAGTTATACCTACTTGAAATATTACAACGGGGTATACTGCACTAATATGGACTTCCAAAGAAATAAACTTGACTTGATAAGTTTATTAATTCTGTCACATTCTGTCTATTCTCCTCAAACGTGATATAATAAATAAAGTTTGTATGATTTAATTTTCAATTTCCATACCTTTTCAAGACACTCCACTTATTTCGTTTTTTATAAGAATGTAAAATGATCTATACACAACCCAACTAACAAGTTAATTAAAAAAAAGAACTTAGTAACACAGAGTAGTAACTAAATGGAGCACTTATAAACATTAATTTTTCTAATTAATCCCACTCACCAAATCTGTAAGGTCCAAAGAGAGTAGATAAGTCTTTCATTGGATGGTCACTGGTGAACAAAGGTCATTCAGCAAATTTTCAATAGATGATTGTAGTATTTCTGAAGCTGTTTCTAGCGCCCTTCTCCCGTGCATTATCACTCCATTTGCTTACTACTCTGTGGGTAAATGTGAGGTCTAAGTTTACTCTCTATTAACTCACTACAGTCATTTAATCATAAGTAAACATAAAATACACTAGTGATAAACAACTTTGTGAGTAAAAGAAACAGGAAACTAAACTACAAAGCTAGAATAGGCTCTAATCTACGAGTATGACTCACACTCACATCAGTAAATGAATCTATTAGGGTACTCATTAAATTGCTATTTTCATTATCAACCTTTATAATAATAGATTGTATTAAGAATGATAAAATTAATATGACAAACCAGTACAATTAGAACTTTCTTGATAAGGTTCAAAAGGCATAATTAGCTGGAACTGACTTTGTCAAACTTATTGGAAATAAATGTTTGGGTGATCATTTTCAGCACAGAAAGAGTAACCTATGCAACAAAAGCAGCTACAAGCTGTAGAGGAATTGCCACATGTTAGCTGCAAGTTATCATGCAATTTAACACAGAGATAACACTTATCTCTTATAATACTATACTTGTGGATTAAATTCATACTTTTGATAGACAACACAATATAACAAAGCTGTTATACATGACTTAACTATCACATTAACAAAAACAAGTTTAGTTAATATAATATTTACCAGCAGACAATTTTTGTTCAATAATAGTAAAAAATGTGAGTTAAGTGTATATTATCAAAATATGACAATATGACAATACACATAACATCAAAACTATTCACTTTTCACAATATTGCATACATACTTACTTTATTACAAGCAATTTGGTAGTAAATATTTAATTTTGATAAATAGGTTAGTATATTCAAGGTTTTAGCAACTTTGTATCTAACCAGAACAAAATTATATTTTGTGTAACACAACTATAAACATCTTACTTCACATCAAATCTGGGTGATTAAAATAGACTTATTTTTGTAAATAAACTTAATGGTAATATTGCTTTACAAAATAGAAATCATATATTTTTATTCTGGATAACTTCCTAATTTCATGGAAAGAAAATAATTTGGTTTATCATATTTGCCATCTACTTGAAGACCTTAAGCAACAGCGTAACTAGGCCAATTAACATTCCAAATTATTAAATACATTTTCTAGAAAGTTTTACTCTAAATAGTTTATCAATGTTTATAAAAATAGTTCATTTGGCACACAGCCAATTTTAATCATAATCAAAACAGTCCAGTACTGTGATCATTTACAAAATATTGTGGACACTGCTTGTTTCCACTATTTTGATTTTTTTATTGTTTTGTTTTGATATACTTCAAGATATAAACAGTGCAATGTTCATAAATTAAACATTTCACTTAACAAGGGATATATTGCTGAAAAACTGAAATGAATCTGCTCCACATACTAACAATAAGCACAACACTTTAGAAACAGTGTAAAAACATAATTAATATTCATCAAGGCACATAAAACACCATTAATTAACAATTAACATAATGTAAATAATGGTGTAAAACAAAGTGTTATAATAACTTTTACAAATTAATAAAAAAAAAGCTGCAAGTAAATTACAATTATTACAAGCTTGCCTACAATGTCACATATACATGGTTGTCATTGGGGCTGCAACCAGCAGCATGCACAAAAGCAGCAAAGTACAATATACTGTTGTGTCATCACCACCTTGTGCATTGTTACAATTTAAACCATTCAACTTTCAAATACTTGTATCACTGGAAACTCAGTAAGACCCAAATTTGTAAAAACTCTAGTCCTCAAGGAAAAAAAAGAATACCTGCCTCCCAGTTACAGGAAGTGTAGCTCGTGGGCAGCTAGCTACACTAAAATACGTAAAAAATAATAAGTAGGAGGGTACGCAGTAACGAATAGTAACATTGTGAAATAAATAAAAAACAATGATTGAAGCTCAAGACACATTGTGTACTGCAATTATTACTTACAGTACGGAAGAAACTACACTATAATGCCTCCCAAGGTGGTGTCATGCAAAAAATGCGTACCTAATGAACAAGTGCACTTTAGGTTTCAGGCAATCCTGTGCACACCAAAGTCTTGGGCAAAACATGAAGCTCAAGTCCTAGACCAATATCTTTAACAGCTACAGTCTCTTCACGGGGCAGAAACAAAGAAAATATTGAAGAATTTAGTAATTGGCATTCACGAAGAAAATGGCGTCATATCACTAGCTAGTCACGGAACAAGGTACAATTTCGTCATATGATTACACGAGTCACAATCACAAATAAACACCACAATAAAACAAATACATGCTGTACAAGTGATTTTGTTCATAAAATTACTCACTTTGAATAAAAATTCCAAAGAAAATCATCCAAAAACTCAAAGGACTGATGACAAGGCACTCCACTCACCGTTTGCAAAACCAGACTAGTATCACGTGACCTGTAGTGTGACCGTACCCATCAAATAAACTGTTTTTGGTAGATTTCAATTTCACTGTCCAATTTCCCGACACTATTTATTGTTTACTTATTATTTATTTATCTTTATATCACAAAGTATATATAATATTATATATTTTACAAAATAGAAAAGAAAATATTATATATTTTACAAAATACAATATTTTTAGTACACAAGATTATCACTGAAGTTATTTAGTGTTATTCAACAGCCCATTTAGAGAACCGATTTTACCTCTGTGTGAGGATCCTCCCTTTGATTATGGGACTCCGGCCGTTCCAGACTGCTAGCATCTCTACGAGCAATATGGCTAAAGTATCGCACAATCCTTTGCAGGCAAACTGCGGACAAGCACTGAGTTTTGTCCATTTTTAGCTCTTTCAAAATAGAAGCATTTGTACCGTAAGCTGTTCACGGTATCCTCAGCATCCTGCGCCAGCACCACATTACAAACGCGTCGATTTTCTGCCTGAGCTTTGATAATTGTGCGAACAAGGTTCATTTTTGTCCGATTTCTGATGTTCCTATCCTTCCACACCTTGCTCAGTCCGGTCATTGGTGTCCTAGCCATTTCAAAGCGCCTTCTTATCTTGGGTTCACTACTGCCCTTGTTTGTAATTACTGATCCGACCGAAATTGATCGACAGTCTCGTATTCTTGCAAGAGATTAGTCCGTTGAGTAGTCTCAAAACGGTGGATCACCATGAGTTTGGTCTTAGATTTATTGATAGCAAGACCCATTTGCAGACTGACAATCTCGAGCCGGTTGTGAAGTTCTGCCATTTCAGCCTCCGATAATACGAAGAGGGTAGTATCATCTGCATTCCGGAGATTGGATATTCTGAATCCGTTGATCTTGACACCACCCTCCCAGTTTTCTAAAGTTTGACGCATTATACACTCTCCATAATTATATATCCATCGCTCCTTGGCGAACCCCTTTTTGAAACTTGAACTTACTTGATGTTCTTCCTGCCACAGTGACTGTACCATATCCGGCTTCATACAGACTTCAAACCAGCAACATCAATTGGTTGGGTACTCCCATTTCAGTTAAAACTTGCCAAAGTTTTACCCATTTTACGCAATCAAAGGCCTTTTGGTAGTCAACGAAACACATGAAAGTTGGGGTGTTATATTCACACACACACTTGTACTTCGGCACCACGACACTCCATGTCATCAATTTATTTCTGCCTTTATTTTACGTACTATTTTACACGATTGCTCAAAAAGTTATGCACATTCTCTTCACCAGGTGTCACAATAGATAACGAGTTTTCTATATATTACGGTATTCCACTAAGCAGTGCCAGATTTCCATCGACAGTATCTGAATTACTTTTTAACAATGAGAAACATTTTTAATATTCTTTACACCGTGAAAAATGTTATTTAAGTCAGAAGCGGAAAAAACCTCCCGAGTGTCCTAAGTCACGGTACAGTGTGTACGTTCCGCGCATACCTCAAAGAGCCATCAGCACCATCACCATAACTCAGGTGCGACGTTCAAAGCTCAATATTGGAGTACTTGTATGGAATTGTATGACTATGTGCTTCGTGATCATCAAAAATGTAGTCGTATTTAATTCTCAAAGAACTAATAAATAGGTACAGCTTGGCAAAAAGAGTTTGACGCAGTGATGGTTGGAACTTTTTTTTATTTGGACTGGATCCCACCCACTATGGACCAAAAACGTTGAAAAAAATGCGGAAATAATGTCACTTGGAAATGATTGTAGCACCAAAATGACAGTTAAAAAAAGTGAGTTATTTATGTATGCGTGTTTAATGGGTTATCAATTATCATTATCACATTTAAGAAAATGACAGATGAACTTCGTCTCAATGTATGTTTGTTCTGTATGTAAGCAGGTGCCACAGTCGTTGTTTCAAGAGACTTGTGGCCGCCTTTTTTTCAACGTCCTTGCTTCGGACCATACCCCATGAATAAACAATCAGCAGAACCTAGTACCTCCTCTTATTAAACTCGATAAAATTAGAAATACATCTAAATCGACCTTAATTATTCTCAACTCTTTTTTGCCAATCTGTATTCAATGTTTTCAATTAAATTTACAGACGGACGGACTTTAGACTGTTAGCAAAACTGAATTCGCTTCGCGTTATTACGTTCTCTTGCTTCAGAAAGTTAATTTTTCTTAGACACTAGAGTATTGCTTGATCAAAAATATTGATGTATTTTTTTGGTACGCGTGAGGCTGAGAGAAAGTAGTATTTGCGCATACGCTCGGTCACTTTATTGAGATTGCTCAAAATGATCTAATTTCACCACCATGTTAATTTGTGATATATGAAGAATTTATTTGTAAATATTATTCTTCTGCTTCCGAATATCTGATGTTTTCCTAGGTCACAGCAACAACGCAAACATAATTAAACATACATTCATGACGTCACTTTGTCGCTTAATCGAAAACAAAAATGGAGTTGCCATTACTACATTTAAAAAAACTACTGTAATAAACTGTTTATAATATTATTTGTCTGTAGTGAATTGTCAAATTGAATGGGTTGTCAAAGTACACTTCAATATTCAAGAAAGTTCGATAATAACAGAAAATTGTTCGTTTTTTAGCATACAAAAATAGAACACACGTACCCAGACAGTGAGATAGAAAAGAACAAAAGATATAGCATGCAATATAGTTGCTTTTAGTTTCAATTAGACTTACGTTGGCATACGTATATAGACGTGCCAGCTGATGAAAAATATCAAACTTGTCTGAAACTTGTGCTTTTATTAGAAATTTAATATATTCGTCGCACATACTATATTTTATAATGCCGACGATATCAGTGAACCGTGACTCTCTATTTGCCGCACTTGGAAAAACTTACAGTTAGTATCTAGTTTCATTATTATGAATGAACATAATTTTGTCTAGTATAGCGTTCATTAAGGTGCTGTTCCTGAATTAAAATATTTTATAATTGATTTGTTTCAGCTGACGATGAATTCCAGGAACTTTGTTTTGAATTTGGCTTGGAATTGGATGAAGTTGTAAGTGTTTTTACAATATAACCTGTAAATATAACCTAACATGCAGTAAACATTCCGAGCACCGATACTATAATCTATGAATATTAAAGCCTGAAATAGGCTTTAATATTCTCTCTCAGATTTAATGATATTACTATTGTTATTATACTCACATTTTTTAATTCTCTTGGACTAGAAATAGGCCTAATTTAACTTGTTTTATGGGTTTATCATAATTGTAAAAAATAATTGTATGATTGTAGACAACAGAGAAACAGATGTTGATGAAGGAGCAAGGTGAGCATGTTGGAGCGGGAGTGTCAGAGGAGATCCTCTACCGGATAGATATCCCAGCCAACAGATATGATCTGCTCTGCTTGGAGGGACTGGTGGATGGACTCCTAGTTTTCCAGGGAAAGTATGTATAGTTGATAAAACTTCAAGTGAATAGATGAGATAAGTTGTAATAAATATTGTTTAATTAGTGTGTAGTAAAAGTAATCTATACAAGAATACAAACGGGTGAAAAAACATCCATTCAATTTTATATACCACATTATTTTTATGTTTACAGGAAGCCTCCTCCACAGTATGTCCTGAAGAAATATGAAGACTGTCACTCTCTGCACTTGACACCTGCAACAGGACAAATCAGACCGTATGCAGTGGCTGCTGTACTCAAAGGCATCACCTTCACCAAGGAATCATATGACAGTTTCATTGATCTACAAGTGGGTTATGAGTACTAAAATATTCTCTTCAACTGTTTATTCTTGCATTTGCACTATTCTTTCTAAAGAGTGAAAATAATATGCACTTCAGCACTTGTTTGTTATTGAATATTTTATACTATACTAATATTTTAATTAGATTTAAAGTGACAACAACAGTGATGGTAAATCTATCAAATCATTAACTTTAGTATGAGGACACCTTTCTACACATCTCTTAAACTTACTAAAAATATCAATATAAATATATTTAATTACAGGACAAGTTACATCAAAATATATGCAGGAAGAGAACACTAGTGGCTATTGGTACACATGACCTGGACACCATCCAGGGACCCTTTGTGTATGATGCACTACCACCGACTGAGATCAAGTTCAAGGCACTGAATCAAACCAAGGAAATGACTGCACCAGAACTTATGGAGCTGTATTCTGTAAGTGTAATTGATATTCATAATGTCATTGATGGTTTATGCCGGGGTAACATGCTGAATTTAACATCCACACAGGACAAGCTTATTACCAAACATCCATGTTAATAGTGAGGAATTTTGCAAATTCCAATATGGAAAATTGTTTTTATGACCTTATTTAGCAATTTATACCTTGTGCAGCAATAACCCTGACAATTCCTTGATCATTGAGCTGCTTCACAAAAAGGCTATTCTGCAGTATTTCAAAATAAACCAACTAAGTCTAGGCAAACATATTTATTCAATTTCAATCTATTCTATTCTATGTAATGATTATATTTATCTATGTATTAAGTATTTGTTGAATAATTTACAAAAAAATGTGGCTGATCTTCTTCTACTGATATTTCAGACACATGCTCAATTGAAGCAGTACCTGGGCATCATCAGGGACAGTCCTGTGTACCCAGTTATCAAGGATAAGAATGGCATAGTGTTATCCATGCCACCCATCATCAATGGAGACCACTCTAAGATCACACTGGATACCAAAAATGTGTTCATCGAGTGCACTGCAACAGATCTTACTAAGGTAAATACACCTTTATCATTCTGTATATGAGCCACAATAGAAAACACATTGTCGCGTCGATCAGCGCTCTCACATACCATATATTCCTTCACAGACAGAACATGTGCAAAGTTTGATACAAAACTTGGTTACAAGTTCGGTAAAATAGAGGTGACTATAATTCTATTTAGCCGTTTAGCTAGAGACAGGGATACATGGAAATCTTTAGAGGAGGCCTTTGTCGAGCTGTTCCACAGAAACACCTAGTTGCCAATAGTTACAAAGCAAGTTAGTTATAAAAATTAATTTATTAGAAACTAGGCTAGGCATGTTAAGTAAGAATGTTGATAATATGTTATATTTGATAAGAAACAGCAATAAGCGCTATTTTATTATTTATTATAATTATATTTTACTATACACTAGGCACAATTTTATTAGACCTCATACCATTACTTAGAATTTTTCGAAAATCGTCTATATCACCTATGAGGCAGTTATTGCTTTTGTATAAATTCTGCATCTGCGTTTATATTGATGTTTAATATCACAATTCAAACAATGGATAAAACATTCTTGTTCATTTTATTTCATCGAACTAGATTGTCTAGAGCCGATGGGTGTTTATTATTGACACACATCTACACATCCAATAAATAGAATGAAGTAAAATAGGAAACTTGCCACGATAAGAAAATTAATAAAAATAACTAATCATTTCGTCTGTTAGATAATGAAAAAAAAAATTATTTGCTTGGTATAAAGTTACAATATTTAAATAAAATGGCGTCAAGTTTAGGAGTGCACAAAATGTAGCACGCTGTGATGTCACACGATATTTCAAATTAGTATATATCGTCGAAAGTATTTAATTTTGTGAGAAAAGAAAAATACGTGTCTAATGTTTCAAAACAATCTACCAGACGGACATTAAAATAAAAATTAGGGTACTACCCTATTGTTACAAATAAGTTAAATACTTAATATCCATTCGACCAATGATTACAAAAGCATAAATCCACTGGTGACTGAATCAATCTTTTTTTCACTTGCGTAACAAATAACTTTGCTGGTAGGCAAACTGTAAAGCATCTATTATTCTATTTTGTATCGAAATTCCAGGCGATAGTGGTTCTAGACACGATAGTGAGCATGTTCTCAAAGTACTGTAGCAACCAATACGAGGTGGAGCAGTGCAAGGTGTTCGCACCGGACGGGACGTACGAGCTCTACCCCAAGATGTGCACCAGGGAGGAAACTATCAGCGTCGAGAAGGCTAACAACTATATTGGTATTAGGTAGGTTTATACTTTGGATTATAAGAGACATTTGTGTTATATATTGTTTTTAATTAAAACTTTCAAGTAATCACAAGCAAGACTCCTAGCAAGATTAGCGAGGAACACATCTATCGGATAATGTGATATCATCTGTGGATATAATAATAGCTTTCTATTTGGCTGTGCCGAGTGGTAATCGCAGAGAAGAAAATGTTTATTACTAGCCCTACTCTTCACTCAAAGCAGTAATTGGTTAATAAAGAACTGCATGTTTAACAGAGAATTAACAAACGCACCCACAACACACTAGAAAATAATGGCGTGGGGCAACGTTTAAAAAAAAAAATTGGAACCAGCACTCTCTGATAAACTCGAAGTCAGTCGATCTTCAACTCATTTGCCGAACGGAAATTATGACAAACCCGTCTTATGTAGAGAGGAGGCCCATAATCTAGCAGTGAACTATCATTGAATCAACAAGCAGGCTTTTTAAGTTTCTTTAAACAACAATGCATTTTTCTTTCCAGTGAAAACGGAGACAATCTAGCTAGTCTACTATCCCGCATGTGCCTGTCGAGTACGACGGAGGACGACGGCCGCACACTGCGCGTGCGCGTGCCGCCCACCAGGCATGACGTCATACACGCATGCGATCTATACGAAGACATCGCTATTGCTTATGGGTAAATAAATGTCGTCCTATTTGTTTATGAATCTAGCTTAGACTGCTTTCTTGGTTCAGTTTTCATCCCTTTGTATAAGTTTGTAATTGTAGTAATTTTAACTGCCAGATAGTTTATAAAAAATACTTTACACATTCCCCAGCTACAACCGCATAGTCCGGCGCCCGGCGCGAGTAGTGACGACGGGCGGGCAGGACCCCATCAACAAGCTCACGGAGCAACTCCGACAGGAATGCGCACACGCAGGGTACACTGAGGCACTCACTTTCACACTCGTGAGTATTTATTGGGAAAGACATTTATTCTTGTACAGTCAAACTTATACAGCAAACAGCCATAAGTTCTAAACAAATTTATTCATAAAACCTTAATAGATACCTAATATTAAGCTGTTTACAATTTTGTGACCATTAAGTTAAATCATTTTGATATGAGCTTATGGCATATCCTTCTAACCTATCAGTTAGTGGGTAACTTATCAGTACTAGTAATAGTTATTTATAGCTTTTTAGTTTTTACTTTTTGTTTGTTTTTAGTTTTGGGTTTTTTGAAGTCGGTTTTTTAAACACAGTTTTATTTTTTTTATTTTATATTTTTTAGTGTAAAGTTACATATACCCGTTTTACCGCTTATAATTCACATAGATAAAAAGGTCTAATCATTAGATTAGACCTTTAACAGTTACATTTCTTCATCATCAGACCCTCAATGCCAGTCCCACTCCATCTGCGTGTAAAGTTCTCACTCATCAATACAAATCAATCAAGCTAAAACACAAGGTAGTTAATATAAACCGTTGAGGAGTTCCCTCGACTGTCTTTCGGCTCCATCATAAGGTCGATTTCAGACCCTTATCAAATTATAGTATTTAAAAATCCTTATTGAAAAACATAATAGACGCATTCCTCGCCCCTAAAATTTTCGTAAGTTTCCCTCGATATCTCTGATCTTCCATCATCAGATCCTGATTTCCTTATCATGGAACCATTCTGGGACTATCTCCTTTCCAACAAAAAAAGAATTATCAAAATCAGCTTATAAATAACGAAGATATCGGCCAACAAACATAAAAAAGCATATATACGATCGAATTGAGATACTCCTCCTTTTTTTGAAGTTGGTTAAAAATCACAACAAGATAACACAAAGACTCGTAGCTATGTTCACTAATCAACAACAGCGAATACTGGAATAATTTATGTGACTAGAAAAGTAGTTAAAACATGAGGGTAGATTTAAAGCGAATTTATCACCTTGTTTCAAATCTGCCCTTATATTTTAATAACGACGCTAAAATTTTAAATATGCAAGTTGGTGTACATAATGGCAAACTATAACATATCTGAAAAACTGCTGATATCGCACACATAACGTCATAACATTACGCCTTCATCACGAAAATAAACAACATTTCACAATAAATATAACTAAATTGATTCTGATGAGGAGACCTTGGAGAAGATTAATTAAAAAATCCAAAATTTGCCAGAAGTCATTATTATACACGGACGAAGTCGCGGGAAACAGCTAGTCACTTATAAAGGCACGATTTGTGGCCATAATTCCGGAATCTGTTACGATATATTTCAAAATACAAAAACCCAATAATATCCCAATACAGGACAATAAATCAATCTTCTTTTCACGCCAACACCAAAACAAGAAATCATTAGACCCTTTCTTTTCCAGTGTTCCCGAGATGACGTAGCAACGAAATTAGGAGTTAAAATCGAGGATGTGCCAGCGGCCCACATCTCTAATCCCAAGACTTTAGAGTTCCAAGTCGTACGGACCTTACTACTACCAGGCTTACTCAAGACATTAGCTGCTAATAAGAAAATGCCACTACCTATGAAACTATTTGAAATCAGCGATGTTGTACTGCAAGATAAAAGTGCTGGTGAGTTATTTGATCTCAAAATGTGTCTCTAGCCGCGGAGGACCTTACGGGTTGCTGGGGCTCCGGCTCGAAGAGCCGTAGTGAGAATGGGGTGGTCTTTAGTCAGTAAGAGTCTGACACTTTCTCTCGCCTCAACCGAGCAAGACCGGCCATTGAATGGTTTTCCCCCCACAAAAAGCGTTATGGCTCTATTTGGCTATCAATAAAAATACACATACATTATCATCATCATAATTTAACCACCACAAGACGTCCACAGCTACACATATTATACCTTTTGCAATCACTTCCAGACAAGCTGGAAGCCACCTGCATCCAATAGGTGCCTATGACCTTTATTAGGTCGTCTATCTATTATAATATGCATTACACAAATTCCATGGACAAAAAACTAAATAACTGTTACAATAGGGAAAACATGTTTTAGAAATCAGTTTCCTGGGAACCTCGATTCCTCATTACCCGAGTCATATCAGAAAGGAAACAAACTAATATCACAATCACAATGTTTTGCTCGTTATAAAATATAGGTCATAATGTACCGTTACGAGGACAGGGCTCCATACGTATTTAGCGTAAATCAATATTTAAATTAATTCTATGTCAGCTTCTACAATCTGGACTAATCTATTTTATGTGGCAAATTTACATCCGCTTCAAATAGAAGATTAACTTTTTCCAGCATAGGAATATATCCTGAACAATATTAGACTAATATTCATTGAAATCAGAAATACTCACACCAGTATAATATGGCTTGACCGTATTTACAAAATTCTTTAAATATCATAAAGAATTGGGTCAACGGCACGATATTACAAGTTTTTATTTTTGTTGTACTACTTTATTAGTAACGGCCGTTGTTTGTCACGTCGGTATGCTCCTCGAGTTTGTAACGTATTTTATTAGTCTAAAATAACTTTGTTTTTCAGCATGGCTCAAAATAATTGTTAGTACACCTCTGTCTATACCGTAATCCAGTTTTCGGCTGATGTGTTATCAGCCAAATAGTGTTATTTATTTGGCTCTACTTAATACTTGCTCTACTATGATATTAAAAAAAACTGTATCTAGTGGACATTTCTCCGTTACTACTAACTTGTCATCAGTTTATCAAATTCTATCATCTACTATTATTAATATTTAGAATTGCATTTCCGAGTGTTAAATATCTTAGAATTAAAAAGATATACTAATGAGTTGACTGCCTCGTTGGCCGAGTGGTCGCAGGTGCGACTGCTGGGCAAGGGGTCTTGGGTTTGATTCCCGGGTCAGGCAAAGTATTACTGGGTTTTAAAAAATTCTCAGTAGTAGCACGGAGTCTGGAATTGTGCCTGAATATATGGCAATAGGCTCACCCCCTATTACATGGGACTCATTACATAAATAGTGAAAAGTGGGTGTTACATTGTACAGTGGCATAATGTGCACCTCTGCCTACCCCTTCGGGAATAAAAGGCGTGATGTTACGTTATGTTACTAATGAGTTGTTAATAATTAACGCGCTGTTATATCATTAAATGTCCCAAGTAAAAAAATTAACAAGCCGTTATTAAAATGAACATTTAATTGAATGACTTGTAAGTTACTCACTCTTTCCGAGTAACTTAATTATTTCAGATAATAAATAAATATATAAATGTTTTACAAAACCCTACTCTCTGCATCATGTCACATGCTCATACAATTAAAGAGTAGTCATTGTGGTCCAAACGGTGCAGTATAAATACAATAGGTGGGTACAATGTAACTTGTAAGCAGATACTTATACAATGAATAGACTTACAAGATTACCATTTACCAACCGTATCATGTTGTACCGTGTTAGAATATAACCAGTGGGGTAACCTTACATCTATTAAAGCCCGTAACAAATTTCTATGCAGTAGTACCTAGAGCTTTTGATTGAATTTAGAAGAGTTCCTCCTCCTCTTGATTTGGAAACTCCTAGCTACCAAAAAGCGTTACTTGTTATAACACTTGCTAGAAATGCAGAGCTTTAAATTAGAAAATGAAGATTTTACTTAATTATATCAGATTTTTTATTATTTCTAGTAAGTACTAGATTCCTAAACTTGTAATATTTGTTGACACAGAGACTGGTGCCCGCAACGAGCGCCGCCTGTGCGCGGTGCACTGCGGGCGCGCGGCCGGCTTCCAGTTCGTGCACGGACTGCTCGACCGCGTCATGGCACTGCTGCGGCAGCCCTGGGACAAGGACACCGGCTACTATCTCAAACAGTGCGAACGTTAGTATAGCTTATACTCGACATTAATTCCTATAATGTCCCTGTAAGTTGTTTTGATAAATTAGGCACCGACTACCTACCTACCAATTATTAACTAGTGCCAATAATCGATGTAGACAAGGAACTACTAAGTTATTTGCAAAATGAACTACTAAGTTATTTGCAAAATACATATGCTATTCTTTTAAATCACAAGTCACAAAGTCGGAAATTATTTTGATTGAAACTTAGGTAGATTTTACCAAAAGTTTTACCTGACTATGGTGAAGGGAAAAGAAGGTTTACCGCTCCTAGAAACGGCTTGATGTATCAGAAGTTTTGCAGTAATTATAATAGATAACCTCCGAAAAATAATAATAACAAAAGAGTTTGTATTAATTTTACAAATCAAAAATGTAACAGCATGTTTGTGTTCAATCAGATCCGGCGTTCTTCCCCGGTCGCTGCGCGGGCGTGGTGGTGCGCGGCGCGGTGGTGGGCACGGTGGGCGTGCTCGGGCCCGCCGTGCTCGCTGCCTTCGAACTCACCAACCCCTGCTCCGCGCTCGAGATCAATATACAACCCTTTGTTTAATTTAATATACAGATTATTATCGTACATAATAATATATAAGTAATAAAATTGCTGAATTGTTAAAAGGTGTATTATTATATTTTTCATTTCTTAATTTAATTTGTAGATAAATGTACATCTTTGACTGTAATTTAGGATAAGAGGCAAAAATGCAATGCTAGCAATCCATTTTCAACCGTCAAGCTAATAGCAGCAGATTGCTGCTCGTTTTAGTTTTGCTTTCCGATCTATGGCTCCTATTATTCAAGTAGCTAATACTAATTGCTTGTATTTTTACTACAAAAGTGTACACTACTTATTGTCACCTATAAATCCATATTTTTGTAGTTTTATTTTATCAGATCTTTTTTCAATTTACAAGCCTTTACAACCTGTAAGTCAAACCACATGTATATTTTTAGTTCATAGTTCTGACACACATAACATAACATCACGCCTTTTATCCCCAAAGGGTACGCAGAGGTGCACATTATGGCACGGAATGCCACTGTACAATGTAACACCCATTTTCACTATTTTTGTTATGAGTCCCATGTAATAGCACGGAGTCTGGAATTGTACTCACATGGGCACAATTCCAGACTCCGTGCTACCATGGGAAATTTTTTTAAAAAACCTAGTGATACTTTGACCTACTTGGGAATCGAACCCGAGACCCCTTGTCCGGCAATCGCACTTGCGACTACTCGGCCACCAAGGCAGTCATAGTTCTGGCGTTCATCAAATAGGCAATACAAGTAACGAGATTGCCTCGATTACTGGATCTTATCAGTCGCTTTATCGGCGGCGTTATTGATACACACACATTATAGTATCTACAATCATTAGCAATAGTAATTACTAATCTTAATAACTTAAGAAGCCAGTTTTATTACTATCATGCGTGATTTTGATTTGTTACCAGTACCAGGGTGACTTGCGTAGTTCTAATGGCGTAGTTATTGACCAATTATCTGATTTTAGCATTAGTTCCTAAATAAAAATATGGATGGATACAACGAGACGGGCAGAATGCTAGCTTTATAGACACAACATAACATCACGCCTTTTATCCCTAGAAGGTAGGCAGAGGTGCACATTACGGCACTTAATGCCACTGTACAATGTAACACCCAGATTTCACTATTTATTTTATGAGTCTCATGTAAAAGAGAGTGATTTTTTTAAACCCAGAAGTACTTTGCCGACCCTGGAATCGAACCCGAGACCCCTTGCCCGGCAGTCGCACTTGCGACCACTCGACCAACGAGGCAGGCAGTATGCTAGGTTTATAAAGTACCTACTAAATAATTTACAGTTACAGGAACTCGAATTAATTATGACTTCATAACTAGAGACTTTAAAATCAATTAAAAACGCATTCATAATGACGTCAAGACATAAGCACCTATTAATTAATTATACTTAGGTATCTACTAGGTTTAGTTTGTTAAAGAGCTTTGAAAATAGTTAATTAGGTAGGTACCATTAAAACAAAGAAATGCTGTTCAAAATATATTTTATTATTTGCGTACAATAAAACAGCACAAACAAAATTAACTATCAAAATCACATTTCATATAAGTAGACATACAATTTATAGTTAATTCGTATTTTTCAACCAATAAAATTGAATTTAAGTTTTATAGACTAAAAATGACACACTGACATTTTTACAATAAACGTAAAAATAATTGAATTAAATAAATAATAAAAAGGTACCAATAGACATAGTAATTCGAAATTATAGGCCATATTCGATTTTTTTTCGCTTATTCTTTTATATATTTTATAATAGCATAATATAACTACATATTTACTTATTTAAAAAAATACAAAAACTTATTGACTCTGCAAACAAAAATAAAGATTTCCGATGTTCAAGTACTAAAATTAAATAGCCATTAAAATTTTGTTGATGTAAAACTTGGGGACTTTTAATTGTTCTAATTTCGTTGAAATATTTTCGCTGTCTGTCGAAGGAACCTCCTCATGTGAAATCAGTCACCAATAATAAAATCGTTAAGGCACTTCATATTGTAATTGACTATGATTCCTAAACAGAAAGGCGGAAAATTAACATTTATATTATGTATCTTGTCAACAATTGCTAAGGTCACTACATCTTCAATTAGATATGCATGTCCCAGCACTTCGAATACCTAACATGTGTGTCAAATATATTGAAGTCCACAGTGTAAACAGATATTGTTATTTCTAAAGATGTAACACCTTTTGTATGTCAAGCTTCAATCCATAGCTTACCTTAGATACATTTTTCACCATATCAGACAAAGCTATGTTTAAAACAATCATCCAAAAGCTACATACTGAAACTTTGATACAGTTAAAATCTACTATGTAGATGTATCTAAAAGTTATGTAATACTTCTTATTTATTTTTAAATACTGAAGATTATTTAAAATATATCATTAGTTGATACATACACCACAACACAACCTAAGTACTAGTATAATAATTTATAAAATAAGATATATTTAAAATCATCATCACTTAACATGATTTACCAATTTAAATGATGTTAAATCACATAGAATATTACAATATTATTATGGTATGTATGTATTATTTTCACAACTTTACTAATGAAATTTATTTAAAACAATGAAGCAGCATGTCCCTCAGTGAGAACAGCTGCCTTCATACAGTCACAGTGGTGTAGTCAACATTTAAATAAATATTACATGTAAGTTGGACGGACATCTATGCTGCCTTGATATAATCACAACTAAGTCAATCAAGTAACAACTGAATTTGAAACATTTTCTCTAATTCTGACCTGTTAAAGTTGGGAGCTATTATAAATGGACATAGATAGAATGATAGTTCCTGGAGATTGGGTGCACTTGTTTTAATGGCTTTTGCTACTTGCATGGTGACATGGAGACAACGAGAGAGACTTAAGTAAGTCAGATTTTGAAATGAGTTATTGGTAAAATATGCAAGAAGAGCACTAGTTGAGAAGTAACCATGTCGTAATTTTAATGAATGCATATTTTTTAGTCTATACAAGTGCAATAAACTTGAATCAAAGAGAGTTTTACATGTCATGATGTGTAATACTTGCAATGCTTTACAATTGGATATGTGACGCATTATATCATCATTCAGAGTGTCTCCATAAATATGTAAAGCTCGTAGAGTTGTTTGTTTCGTTCTCAGCAGAGACTCGAGGAAATCAGCTGGAATATTCTTCATCTTTTCCATACTAATACTGACTAAATTGGAGCACTGTAACATCTTGTACAGACTATCATGTGTGAGGGCAAAGTTTGACAAAACAAGGGTCTCCAGATTCTGTAACTTATCAAATGGCAAATGGTAAACAAAATTACCATTTGCATTTTCAGGATTTTTCACTATTAGCGAATTTCGAAAACTCAAGAACTTTAGGTTTGGCCAGCAACCTAGATCATCAAAGATACAGCTGTCTACTTGAGATATACTTATTTCTAAATGAGTCAGATTAGGGCAGTAGCTTATTAAGGAAGCCCTCACTTGAGAATATAACTTGAAATACTGTAGTTTAACATTCTTCACATACTTAGCGACAAAAGGCACTATGTTTTCACTTATCCTCACATAGTTCTTCATACATACTATGAGGCGTGTTTTATCCCAAACGCAGGGGGTCAAACAGAGTTGTTGCCATCTCATACAAACTTTAGCAACTGCCAATAGCGATTCAAAATCGACCATTGAAAATATATAAATAAGTATTTCATTAGGTAGGTCATTTAAGGTGATAGTGCTTGGGTAAAGAGGAGCACCCGTCACGTCGAGTTGCACCATGGTCGGCAGCAGAGCGTAGCCCCGCACTTCTGGAAACACACGACGAATGGTATGCTTTACACCAACACTATTTGTTACCACTGTTACTTAGACACCACATGTTCACTAGTTGACGTCTAGTTACCATTTAAATTGTATTAAATATAAATAACAAGACAAAGAATATTAATTAACCCAGTAAGGTCATGAACCTTGAACAACCGTAATACGTATTTAAAATCAAGTTTAGGAATACAAATAAAATGATAATACAATTGGTAGAGTAATACATATAATTACCTCAGGTTTACCTTGCTTCCTATTCGAGAAAATTTTAATGTTTGCTTTGGTAAAAACATAACTTATGTAAATTTTTATCCAAACACACACAAAAACCACATATTAAAATACTCATCAAAAAGTAATACTCTGCATTTGGCTAAAATAGATCATCCCAAAGTATGGTACAATACTTCAAAATTATTTTTTTAAGTTAGATTAAAAATAACTTTCATCTTTGATGCTATTTTTGTATGACGTTTTACTAGAGAACCTTTGACGTTTGACTGACTGATGGTATACGTTTCGTTTCTGTGTGAAATCAAACATGGTTGTAAAAAACAAAACAAAAACTATTAAATCAAACTTCCATCAATTTGTTTTATCTGTACCTATTATGTTAGTAATATTATAATAAATCTAAATTCTTGATAGATTTTACGAAACCTGGACATGCTTATTACTTTAACACATGTATTTTTACTATTTTCGCCTGCGGCCCGTAACGTACACTCGCACGGGGTCGCATTAGTCTTAACTTCACATCTTATGATAATATGATCACGTTAAATCATTAAATCTATTGTTTTCATAAAAGACGCATGCTTAATTGCTTACCACTAGGACCGATTTAAGATTATTTTTATCAGCATCAAACCAGCCAATCTTGTTGCATAATTTAGAAAAAAATTGCGTAACCCATTTCAATATTATGAAATAAAAATATTATGTAAGTAAAAATAATTAATTACACCATATTTTTGTAAGATGCGGTAGGAACACAATTAAAGATTAATTTATTATAATTGGACATAGTCAAATGCTTAAAATTACTATTATATTGTCTAAGTATGTAGGTATAATAAGTACGATGGATTAAATTCACATATTTATTTACGTATGTATTGTATGTGTTTGTCTAAAAAAACGACGGAGGTAAGTATCCAGATGCAGGAGTTGATGCTGTCCCTGCTCCAGAATTAGTTCCTGCTGGTGGTATATAACCAGTTTGTGGTGTTGGAGCTGGTTGAGGGCTGGGAGCTCCTGCAGGAGATGCTGACGGTGGAGATGAGTTGGGTGGCAAATATGAGGCACTTGGAATAGATACCGCACCACCTACGTTAGTTTGACTGCCTGCTGTCGTACCAGTGACAGTGCCTCCGATCGATGTACCAGATGTTCCAGATGTTGAAGTTCCCAATGGTGGCAAGTACTTATCAGATGGAGTACCCACTGAACCAGCTTGCACCGAAGTGCTACCAGAGTATCCCTGTCCAGAACCAGAATTAATAGAGACGCCTCCAATGCTCACACTGCCACCAGTAGTCGCACTTCCTCCAGATGTACCACTCTCAGTGGGTGGTAAATATTTTGGCGCACTAGTGGATACATCTGACGAAACCTGAAGAGTTGGAGAAAGAGTAGGTGACGGAACATTGTTACCGTAACCTGAACTAGATTGAGAAGAACCAGTGTTAGTGGCAGTTTGGCTTCCAGTTGCAGTGGTTTGCGATCCCGTTGAGACCTGAGAACCACTGTTGACTTGGGTTCCAGATGTCTGAGAACTATAATCGTAGCCACCAGCTGCGCTTCCAGTAGCAGAGGACCTGTAATTGTATCCCCCACCCCCACCTCCACCCGACGATACAGCAGTGGCAGTGGTAGTCGTGCTCTTCGAAGTTTGTCCAATGTTCACGGTGTCACCGCCGGCTGGCACTGGATACGCGTAAAACATTGTCTGCGTCAGCGTCCTGTCAACATTCGGTGCTTGAGTGGGTGCCGGAGTAGACCTCTGAGGCAGGTCAAATGATACACTGGGCTTGTTGTACACGTACCCGTCTTGTCGCCGCACTCGGACCGCAGGTTCTCCTCTACAAATTCGCCAGCAGATTGTACAGGAATCGTTGCAATACTTTTTAACATTATAATAGTTGGAAGCAAAACATAAACATAGTTCACCTTTAACCGCATTTTGTGTTTGAAGAAAAGTGAAGATCGTAAAGTCAATTTTAACTGTGCCTACCAGTATTTATAACAATGTCGAGGAAGTCACGAGACCTCGGTGTGCATTACGAAAGCTGTCGTTAGTTAACCCTTAGTTTACTTTATTACTTTAAGGAGCCAAGAAACCAACTAACCTACTAAAGAAAATGGCATATGTAGGTTTGGCCATAATAATAATAATTACAATATCCACGCTAATTACTGTCGATGTACTTTTGTGCCAGGGGCATATAAAGAATAAAAACAAGCAAAAGGTAAAAACTAAAAAGCAAAATATTATTATTATTATTCATACGTACTTATAGGTTACATACCCACTGATAGGTATGAAGTTTTTACCTTTTGCTTGTTTTTAGGTTTTGGTTTTTGAAGTGGGTTTTTTTAAACGAAGTTTTCGTTTTTACGTTCTTGCTTTTTAGTTTAGTCAAAGGCTATATAGACCCAGCATACTACGTATATCCCACATGGGTGTGGCCCATCAGGCAGTCATAATGACAGTCACATCCCATCTAGATGTAAAGATCTTCTCTGTACAAATAATTTAAGCGCAAAATCCTTGCTAAAAATCCTCGAGAGTTCCCTCGACTGTCTCCATTCATCAAATTATAGTAGATTTAAATACTATATACAAAAATTAACAAACGTTCTCACCGCCCATACAATTTTAAAAAGTTCCCTTTAATTCCATGGGATCCCTTGAAATCCCGGAACTTTTCAAAATTGGAACTGGTGGAAATGGAACCAACCCGAAAATAAGACCTTTTCAACAAAAAAATATTATCAAAATCCGTCCTTGTGGACGCCGGAGAAATCGGGTAACATACAAATAAAAAATACAAACAACCGAATTGATAACCTCTTCCTTTTTGGGAAGTCGGTTAAAAAAATGGTACCTACTCAGCCAGAGCGCGACCAATGTAGCAGAATTTCAGATAGGGTGTTGAAGAGCCCTCAATCAAGTGCATGTTAGAGTCGTTGTCAAGTAAGAATTTTACACAAGGTATGCGTATATTTGTGTGTTTGTGTGTGTGTGTCTGTGTGTGTGTGTGTGTGTGTGTGTGTGTGTAGGATTTATGAATTAACCCCTGGTGTGCCGGGAGCGTAGATATACGCGAGACACAATGTGTTTCTATTGTGTCTCATATAAAAGGTTAAGCAAGTGAACCGTAAGTTTTGAAATTTTCCCTTTTTATCTCTTAACTACAACTATGGGTCCTGTATTTTTTTTACTCACCGTGATAGGGAAACTGCCTCCCGTATAGTTAGGTACTCTGCAGACTCTGCAGGGCATCATGTAGACATTGTAGGGTTGACTAAACTTCAATCAAAACTATAATTATGTGGTTTTGTTAAATTACACGAACGTAAATTAACTTATTTTCTTCTCTGTTCACGATCACGACCATTCTTAAGGAGATAGGGTACCTCCAAATTAAGATGTTTGTTTTTATGGATTATTTAGTTACTTGGTTAATTCAATGATTTTCATTAGTGCCACACTTTAAGCCTAATAAATAAATAAAATAAATAAAACCTTTTTATTTCAGACATATTGGGTCCATACAGTTTATTATAAATAATAATACTATAAATATAAGTATTCTTAATTAATTTTATTTATTACATGATAACACCGCATTATCAATCTTTCAATTAAAACAAAAATTATTACATTGTCAATTTAGATAATAAGGATAGTTTTTATTAAATAAACTCAAATTATTTAAACGACAACATATCTAATGAATAATGTTTTGTTTCAGTTGTAAATTTTTTAGTTGCTACTTAAATGGGTACCTACTAAGTAGATAACAGTTATCCATAACATAGAATAATACGCATAATCCCCATACGTACCTAGTACATCTTAATCTACAATAAATTATTATCAATATTTTGACGGCAAGTTATTGTACCGTGCGAAAATATAATTGTCATTGCCTAATCTTATCTGCAAAATATTTAAAAATAAACGATATAGGTAAGACTTCTGCATGGTCTGATTTTAGCATCCGGCTTCTCAGTATCACTCAGGAGTTCGACAAGTATATATAATTGGATAAGCGAAATTCGATACTATAGTGAGATAGGTCGTGTAGGCTAGTGTTTCTAACCGCTAGCAATATACCGGTATAGATAGGTACATTGAATACAACAAGTGAAAGAGTGTCTCGTTACTCGTATCTAGACCCTCCCACAAACATTCAATTCATTTCTGTGTCAAACGCCGCACAAGATCCACGGTACTCATAGAACTGGTATGTGCGCTTATAATATTATTTTAATTATTAGTTAAAACCAATTACTATCTATTATAAAACATAATAAATTTGACTTTTCATTAAAAAATGTTGGTCGTTTAAACTAGGCTTTCTCTCGCTGTGCATGTTTTAAGTTTAACCTGCAGTAGATTTTTTGAAAATAAATTTGATTAATTGTTAGCAAGTCTCTCTGATCTAAAAATAATATTTAGATATTATTGATGACTTACAGAGTAGCTTTTATTGATCTAAGAGGGAAAGTTGAAGCCTGCTTTGGTTATTCATTTCTATTTTTACTTTATAAAGACTCAACTCTAGGAAAAATCTAGTGGGTCCTATGGTCATTATATTTGCATACCTACTGCAGTTAGATTCTACATTTTGGAACGAGCACCTGCTTCACTGACGGACAGACTGACAGACAGATTTATTTTATTTTTGTTGACGTTTCAAAAGTATCAAGTTATGGTTTAATTGAAATAAATGCTTTGACTTTGAAATTGCTCATTAAAGTGCAAAAAAAACTAACAATTTTATTTTTTCTACTAGACTATCACTAGATGACTAGAAACGTTTGTTTTTTTTTTCTTTAATAATGTATTTCTTTTTTAATAATTCAATTAACAAACGCTAGCAACTACTAAAGTATCTATCGGCGTAGGAAGTGTACGTTTGACTAGATTCTAATTTGTCCTTGATGTCAATTTGTACTCCAACCGCATACCTTGTTATCCCCTTCACTGTTCATATACAGTTGAATTTTGATTTGCCAGGATATTTTCTATGTAAATAAAGACCTTTACCTAACTATTTTTGTAACGTTTTAAAGTAATTGTCTAAAATCTGTACGTGTCACCTGTTTTAGCGTGTGAAATAAAGTTTTTCTTTCTTTCTTTCTTTCTTTCTAATTAATCTTGCATAATATCTATTTCAGTATAATGGTCCTAAAACTGTACTACTTGGAAGATGGGCCGCCTTCCCTCTCATGCAGGCAAACCTTGGAGGCGTTGGGGGTACCCTTTGAGATCGTCAACGTTAGCTTTTACCATGGCGAGCATATGACTGAGGAATTTGCAAAGGTGAGTGTTTTAGCACTGGTAGAAAACTGTGATAGCTACTAAGATTTTCAATATCATCAGTCTGGCTGATCGCAGTTTTAGAGTCTTTTAAGGGGGGACAATCATCGAATGACTGCTCCCGCGTGGGTGAGGCGAGAGGGAGTGTCAGACTCTTACTGACTAAAAACCACCCCGTTCCTACTCCTGCGCTTCAAGCCGGAGTCCCGGTAACCCGTTAGGTTCTTCGCGACAGTTTTAGGGTCTAAGCACTAATGATTATGACTGAGATGATAGGTAGATAGATACCTACCCAGTTTATTACTTTTCTATTCAGCATTTGGTTATTTTCCTTAGCATGACTTACTTTATGGCATATGGTATGGCTTTAGTGTTATTAGTCAGCATCACCTTTTTACTCATATCATATTGGTCAGACTGCCTCGTTGGCCAAGTGGTAGCGAGTGCGACTGCCGGGCAAAGTATTACTGGGTTTTTAAAAATTCTCAGTAGTAGTACGGAGTCTGAAATTGTGCCCGATATATGGCTATAGGCTCACCCCCTATTACATGGGACTCATAACATAAATAGTGAAAAGTGGGTGTTATATTGTACAGTGGAATAGTGTGCACCACTGCCTACCCCTTCGGGAGATAAAAGGCGTGATTTTATGTTGCATATTGGTCATAATTTTTGTTGTCACCTTTTTTCTGCAAGTCACGCTTGTTTAAGACGATTGGATAATGTGAAATATTTCATAACAGTTTACACAGTGATAAGACAGAGTGATAAGTTCACAGATAATGTATAATATCCCCTCGGGCGAACAAACATACATTTATGAGTTTTATCTCTGAAGAACAAAGATAATACTTATTAGAACAAGTCCTGTCAATTTGTATTCTACAAAGTAGATAAGTACTGTAGGTAGGCAAGTCATGAGACCAAAACACAATAACGACCTTGCTGTAAGCTGTCCAAACTGTAGTCTATACTTGCTTAGATTGAAGTTATAAAAAGGTTGACATTGAATCGTGGTTAGTTTATGCAGAATATTTTTTATGACGCACCTCGCCATTTGTAACAAAATCAGGAAGTGTTCAACAATTCTGATTACTCGCCTTAAAAACTACACTACAGAAGAGAACTGTAATAAAAGATTATAAATTGAAAAGGTATTTTTTACTATGTAAGAAGAAAAAATTAAACGAGCCAACTGCATATTAAGAACTAGCTACTTCCGTGCTGTTTCACACGCTTTGCTCAGCTCCTATTGGTCGTAGCGTGATGTTCTATAGCCTATAGCAATCCTTATCCTTACTTATTCCTTATTTATATTATAAATCGGAAAGTGAGTTGTTTGTTTGTTTGTTCCGCTTTCCCGCCGTAACTACAAAACCGATTGCTTTGATTTTTTGCAGATGTATAGTTAGAAGTCTGGATTAAATAATAGGGTACTTTTTATCCCGGAAAAATTTGATATTTCCGAGGAAAAACAAAAGTATTGGTATAGATGGCGCTGTGTGTATTGGTATATGTCACATTGGCTATTTATACTTTTGTGACGCGAGCGAAGCCACGGTTAAAAGCTAGTTCTTGATAAATGCGCTATCCAACACAAAAATAATTATTCAAAATAGACTTGTAGTTACGGAGGTTAGCGCGTTCAAATAAACAAACAAAAAAACAAACTTTACATAATAGCTGTGAGATTAACTAAACAAAGTACCGATGTAAAATCATCGAGGCAAAATGCCTCGAAAGTAAAATTTACTACTTAATCCAGTATCTTGTGACAATGTAGTCTAGATTTATAACGACCTAGATACTAACATTATGATTATAGTACCAGTTACTGTGCATTGTTGAACAATTTGCACACAATACATATTCATATCTAAGCTAGGTATCAACCTAGTTAGATAATTTTTACTGTCTTAAATTTTCAGAAAAACCCACAAAAGGAACTGCCAGTACTGGAAGATGATGGGTTCTTCTTAAGCGAGAGTGTCGCCATGATGCAGTACATATGCGACAAATTCAAGCCGAACAGCCCGTTGTACCCGACAGACTCAAAAGCAAGGTGAATTCACATCATTTTTGTAAATGGAATAAGTTGACAAACTGTAAGACGAATCGCCTGATGGTAAGCAATCGGCGTCGCTCATGGACATCCGCAACACCAGAGGAGGAAGTTACAAGTATGTTGGCGATCATTTGGGTATTTGGGGGATTGAGGACGGGCAAACTTAACACAAGCGTTATTTCAGGCCGTCTATCTTTATTGTACTCGGTACCACTACACTAACCCCCGTATTTGAGGAGGCGGGACGCGTGAGGCAGCGAAGCACTGCCTCCTCGCAACCCAGCCATCGCGAAGGACACACCGGGCGTCGGGGATCGCGGGACGATCTCCGGCCACCGTAAGCGCGGTCCTGCGGACGGCGAGCATGGGTGGCTCCCCGTCCGACCAGAAACAGACCCGAGCGTACGGCGCGTCGCGTTCCGCGCGCGCCTCAAAGAGCCATCAGACCACCACAGATGGGGCCCAATAGGGCCGATGCCGATTCGGAGTCGCGGAGAACCTAACGGGTAACCGGGGCTCCGGCTCGACGTGCAGGAGAAGGAACGGGGTGGTTTTTAGTCAGTAAGAGTCTGACACTCCCTTCCGCCTCACCCAGGCGGGAGCAGTCATTCGATGATTTTCCCCCCTTAAAAAAAAAAAAAAAAACCCCGTATTTGTAAACAAGTAATTACTTGTTGCTAAGTAATTACTTATCTAAGTCATTTCTTGAGGTTAGAAGTTTTAAGTATAAAATCTAATTCTATAGTTAAGTAATGTACCTTACTTGTCTAGTATTTGCTTAAGCAACGGTCAGTGCTTATTACTAGGCTGTAAATTGCAACATTTATTTGCTGAGTTTTGTTTCGTAAAAGATGAAAAATGAACTTGCGTTTATCATTGTTAATAAACATATATATTAGTTATTTACAGAGAAATTATAATAAAATTAGTTACTAAGTAAGTAGTACCGAGGTTCATGTCATGACTGATTCTTAAAAAGTACGATGTTGAAATGGTTTCAAAGTTATGACCCACTTCTCTTCCTCCGTTAACATTTTGTGCATTGTACATTCCAGGGCTATAATCAACCATCGGCTGATGTTCGCCATGACCACATACTACGCAGAGCTGTTAAATTATTTCGTAAGTCTCATCCTTATTCATTTGTACCAAAATCAAATAAGTGATATAATATAATAAAATAACACAATTGCAAATTAGTTGAAACGGTTATTTTATTAATGACTGTCGCGCATTTCACATTGCAGTAGAAACGCAACGACGCCCATTCAACATATAGTATAGCCATAGGCAACAACGATATCTTTTCTCTGCAAAAATGTAGGACCTATTGTATATCCTTATAATATTCTCATTATAGATTATGCCGGTTTATTTCAAATACGAGCGTACTCCAGAGGTGTTGAAGCGTGTGCACCGTGCTCTAGACTTGTTTGAAACGTACCTGGAGCGCGAGAACACCAGCTATGCTGCTGCCAACCACCTCACCATCGCTGACTTCCCTCTCATCAACGCCACTATGGCTATGGAAGTCACTGATTTCGACTTTTCTAAATACAAAAGGGTGGGTTACCATTTTACATTTCTTACATTTTGCAATCGTACCAAAATAAGCTAAGGCTATTTGATAACTAAGAAATGGATGACTGGAGTTCTTACCCTAAAAACAAAAAATATTGGGATAAGGCGGTAAATGAGCAGACATGATGGTAAGCAATCGGCGTTACCCATGGATACCTGGAACACCAGAGGCGTTACAAGTGCGTTACTGGCCTTTTGGGGATTCTGAATTCTGAAAGTCGTGGTGTCCCGAAGGTTTTCCCCTTCTCATGCATGAGGGTGCGGGTTCGAAACCTACTATCGGCAATTACCAATGTATTTTTTTTCCGAGTTAAGTATATGTACTTTCTATGACTATTTAGACACCATGCACTGACAAAAGGTCAAGGAAAACATCGCGAGGAAACCTGGGCTTATAATTTCTAATTATAAGTTTAAAATCGCCAACCCGCATTGAGCAAGCGTGGTGATTAATGCTCAAACCTCCTCTGTGTGAGAAGAGGCTTTGCTCAGCAGTGGGTACTTATAGGCTGTTGATGATGATTATGATGATGATGAGGATTCTAGTATTGGGGTAATTGAGAAGAGGGAGGGATTGGGGAGATGGGGTAATTGGGCCTCTGGTAACCTCACTCACACGACGAAACACAACGCAAGCGTTATTTTACGTCGGTTTTCTGTGAGGCCGTGGTATCACTCCGGTCGAGCCGGCCCTTTCGTGCCAAAGCATGGCTCTCCCACACTTAATCTTCTAGTTTCTCATGGGCTTGAAGACCTGAGGTTAAGAAGAGAGCGATGTTTTTTCCTTATTTCTTTTGACTATCTGTCAAACTACGACCATGGGGTATTTGAGATTGAGGCCAGGTGGTCAGGTTAGCAATCAATCGATGTCGTTGCGCTAACTACAAACTCCCATCAGACTAGGTACAAAATAACACTTATAATTTTACCTAGTTTTATTTAAATTCTATGCTACTGGTTTGTCTACCTATTTAAAACTTCTTATATTCTATACTACTTTTTAATCCGTCGTCTTATTTACCTACTTACCTAGCTTTTTTCTTATAGATAACAAAATGGTACAATGACTTCAAGAAGAATCAGCCTAAACTATGGAGCATCACGGCCGAGGGTATGAGATTGATGAGGAAATGTGTAGAAAACCCACCAGACCTATCACACTTAAACCACCCTATACATCCTGCGAGGAAAGCCGAATAGAACAGCTAAACGAAAACTATTTTGAACCATTATCTCTAATACTTTTGTAATTTTCGAAGAGAGGGCGCTGAATTCAATTTCCGTAGGACAAGAATGAAGTGCATTTAATATTATATCAAATGTTGAAAAGAATACTGCTTTACTTTTTTCTTTTCGAAACATCTATATGTCTACTTAATACATTTTGTAAATTATAACTTTACTGTATACTTATTTATCAATCCCCTAAAACTAATTTCAATACGTTCCTACGAAGTTCTTGTGTTAGTCGACAGGTGGCAATGTTAGCTAAAAACATAACGTTGTAGGTACAGCAAGGTTTATACAAAGATCTACTAGGTACGCACGCAAATAAATGTACTTTAGGCTTTATGTTAATCGATAACAACTTAATATTAAAAAAAGACGACATAGAAAATTGCTAAGACCAGAGAACTACGTGTTAGAATAATACAACATAGATATGCTGTTTAATTAAATATTTTAATAACAATTTTTAAAATTAAGTACATGGATATTTTAGATCTTATCCTCGATTAAGCTGATTATGAGTCCTCCTCTTCCAGTTCTCGCCCCGACACACATCTCTTCATATAACCAAGGCAGGCATTAGAACAGCAATCCTTATGATTCATACACTAAAAAAGAAAACAAAAACGTGACGGAGACAGGTAGAAATGGGCGAACCTATACTTATAAAAATGGTTACAAAGACTAAAATATCTAGAAATTAACCGAAGAACTCAACGGAATTAGATAATTAGACACTCAAAACTCGTAAAGCAACCTCTGTATTCACATAACTGTGATGTTCTTTATTAAACACTGTATCTAATTATTCTAATTATATTTACAAAAATACTCATAAATAAACAAAAATGTTTACACACTACCTACATTATCTAGCTTCTTTCTTGAGAAGCTTTTGGCAGCATACCAACGCGATGACAGGACAATGCACAATGCAAGTGTATGATGCATAAATTAATATAAACAAAGAAGGATACATCCACAACTTTTCAAGGACCGCTTACACATCCATTTATCCAGATTAACTATTCATTCCGACTTCATTAAATCATCGTAAAAAACAAGACAAGGAAAATTATTTTAAAACTTACGAATTCTCCGATCTTAGCGCATCCAGCATTCTCAGTGACACTGTTTGGTTGTGGCACTTCAATGGGCGTTGCTTCTGGTACACTGTTCTCTTCTAATTCCGCATCAGGGAGAGGAATATCCTTCGTGACTCGGTCAGTGATCAAACTGCAGGTTACGCAAGTTGACACAATGAGGAACAAAAGTATGGTTGTGAAGCGACGCATTGTGGTTAGATGCAGGACGATACTAACGGAGCCGTGTGTCGGGTGCTGATATAGGGTCAGCTGACATTCGCATTAACGGCACCCGTATGAAGTCCGATAACGGAGGTGTCGTAAACATCGCTTACAGGACGTTGTTTTTGTCTATACCGTGTTTTTATTACTCATTTCGTTCTTCGTTTTAGTGTCCATTTTGTTATTATTTTTTCCCAGATAGTTCTGTTTATTTTTCAATGGTATAATTAACAATGTTGTCGATACGACATAATCTTAATGATCTTCATACAACATTGAAAACATATCATAACATATGTTGTATCGAATATAGTTGACTATAAAAACAAGAAAAATATTGGCATTGGTAGTAAGAAATGGGCTCACGAATTTGAAACGTTACTTTTATTCGCTTAGCTTCTGCCAGCGGCTTCGCCGGCATCCGCAGGGGTATAAAGTAGCCTATTTGTTACCCCAAACAATAATTTACCTGTGTTCCAAATTTCATCCCCCTCCCTTCGGCCGTTTTGATGTGACTGAGAAACAAACATACACACAAATTCCACATTTATAATATCCGTTCAAGCTAATTTCAACCATTGGCGCAACTGTGACAGCGTAAAGTCCACTACGGGCCACCTAACATTCGACAAACTTATATTTGCGTTTGGTACAGTGACTGTGTCTAGGGATTGAGCCGCATAATTAAGTCTGTGTTTTCGTGTATATATTATTTCGGGATAAAAATTACCCAGTGTTGTGCCCAGAATATTGAAGTATAACCATAACAAATTTCATCATAATCGGAAAGGTAGTTTTTGCGTGATGCCTACACTTACAGACAGACAGGCATACAGACAAAAAATTTTAAATCTCATTTTTTGGTTCGGTAGCTACCTAGTAACACCCCCTACTATTTATTATTTTAATATTTTCAATTTACACATCTACAGTTTTATTAGATGTAAGTACTCATGTACAGATTTAATTTGTTCCCATGATCTACGGTGTCCCCTTCTATGTTTAATTATGTATTGAGATCTTTTTGTCCATCGCTAAAAACGATCAAAAAGTACCTAGTTATTTTGTCAGGAGTCAGGAGTACCTACCTACAATGCAAAACATATGCTGCACCTTTTTGTTATTAATCGGAATTCCTGTTTGAGAAGGTAAGTCAAACTCCATGATCTTTTTGTTTGCAACCGGTTTTGCAACTATTGAGATTCAGTTTTTGTTTGTGGTTTAAAGGGTTTATTAGCATATTCCAAAACTCAAATTCTATCAAATAATTACTAAATAAAATATAAACAGCACTATTTACTAATTTTGTATTAAAAATATAAATACTTAACTCGTTACATTTACATAGTACACAAAATGCTTCGAACATCACAAAAACAATAACTTTAAATACAATATTTTCCAAATCAAACGATAATTACATATTTAATTTGGTATCAAGTCACACATCTCTTGGCAAAGCCCAGGCAGGCACGGGAGCAACAGTCATTGTGGTAAATACACTGCAAAAGAAAAAAACATCTTGAGCAAAGAGGTAAAACACCTTATCCCTTTTTTGAACAGACTGCTGTGGTACCATTGGTCGGAGAGGGTTGTCTAGTTAGGGTTAGTTTGAAAACAGTTTTTTCAATTCCAATATAAGAAGTGTATTTATTTAGAGTTGACACAATCGTTAATCGTCTTAATACTTACAGGCTCTCCCAGTTCAGCGCATTTCTTCGGTTCAGGCAAAGAATTAGTTTGGACATGTGGTGGATCTACAGCAGTAGCGCCCAATTTGTCATCAGCTACTTCAACATCATTTGGTCTATTACTGCTAATTACAGTAGCAGTGATTACTTGCGCAAATACTATTAAAAGTACAACAGTAGTAATGCGACACATTGTGGATAAGAGAAGGTTCGGTACTGCCAAAAGTTTCATGAGTGTAGTTAATATAGTTTCTGATGACGCCACATTAACGGCACCCGCATTGACTAGCGATAACAAACGAGAAAATATTACTTATAGGACGTTGTTTTATTTATTTTCTATTGAACCTCTTTACCATTCATACTAGGGAGCCATTCAATATATTTTATTGGCAAATCGATTAAACAGAGAGGGAGGAAAAAAAGTAAAACGAAACGCATTAAAAAAATCGTTTTCTATTTAAGAAAAATTAGTACCTACATATTTATATATATATATATTTACATCCTAGAACCGTTTTGGCGTCACACATGTCGCGCATCATTACGACGTCCCCCAGTTCCCGTTAATTTTTTTTATATGTCTTGATGAATATTGCTTAGTTATTCGATTTCTAGCTTTGTAGGATACGTCATTTTCCGATAATTTTATTTTTCGCGATATTCTTCTTGTAGTCATGCTGCAACATTTTTGAACCCCAAACCATCGTGATAACTAATTGGGCTCCTAGATATATTGATCGTGATTTAACCATGGCTTCGGCTAATTAACGTCCTCACAGCGTGGATGGTATTTGCGAGTGCAACGTTGCCAGCTTTGCGTTCACTTGTCTCTTTCTTTTCCTCTCTCTTGTCACTCGTCTGGGACAGAGTTTTAACAGTATTACAATATTCGTAAAATCTATCAATACATATACTAATGCCCGATATTGGTATAATATTGGTAACATATATGAGAAGATGCCGCAGTAGGAATAACATATTTTTTAAATGTTTGCCTAGTCTATTCCATACATAAATACAAATCGGTTCAGCCCGTATGTGATCGGCGCGGCGTACCGGTTTTACAAATTTATCTAAAGAAAGAACTCAGAACTCGATTTTTATTTCAAAGCAAGCAAGAGTAAAATACGTGAAAGTTTCTTCCCCAGCGGTCATCATGTAAGATCATCTATAACTGTGAAAGATCATCTAGCTATTGGGCGTCCGTATATAGTTATTAATCATCATCAGCCTATTTAAGTCCACTGCTGGACTAGCACCATCTACTGGGCTACGTTAGGAATTCAAAAATGGTCATGCAAATTTCAGTTGACCCAAACGCTATGGTCATCAAGTAAAAAGCTACATCACTATACTGCTCACACACGGAAATGGGAGGTCCGTTGATTGCGGATCCTGACAATTGACATAGTAATGGCAGGGGTCTCTTGCAGAGCCTGACGATGGCCATGCGCGCGAAGAAAGTTTCTTCCTCAGCAGGTATCATGTAAGATCACTTAGCTATCGAACGTCCGTATATGAAAGAAAGAAAGAAAGAAAAATCATTTATTTGGCAATTACACGCACAGAAAACAAAGAATATAAAAAAAATAAAAATACATATATATAAACAAAATACTAATAATAAACTTACAAGAAAAGAGATCAGAACAGACAATATATCAAAACATCACAATATAACAAAATAATAATACGATAATAACAGAATTTTGAATAGACAATAAAAAAAAAATCTAATAAACAAAATAATAATATTAATTTTAATTTGCGCGTGCTAATGCCAAAAGGGCCTCCACCTCAGCATATAGTTGGACGTTTGTGCCCAACGCTGGTTTTCAGGTGGCACCCTGCAGTGACTCACGGACGGCGGTGCGGCCCCTCAATGAAGACAGAAAATAAACATGAAATTGTATAAATAATATAAATTTAGCTGAATATGTGTGTGTGTGTGTATATAGCTATTGGGCGT